TTTGAAGGATTATTGGTCAAGTGACCCATTTTTAGAAATTGCAATTTTTGGCAAACTCATGAGTCATAAGAGATTTGAACAGATATGGTGGTGTTTGCATTTCAACAATAATGAAATTCTACTTTGAAATACAAAGCATTTCTGTTGAAACTGGCAAAAGCTTGGGCTACTGACGTCACGGTGGCGGCAGTACCTGCGTCAGACACAGACGTAGTGCAGCCGGGGCCATCTGTTCGCACCCGCCAGAGGCCTCAAGTAGACCCCCCTGGCCGACTCTCGGGTGATATGCGGAAACATATTCTTGTGAAAATTGTGAAGAGTGAATATTGCAAGAAGAAACACCCTTCTAGGCAGTGCCGTGTGTGCGCAGAGCACAAGAAGAAGAGTAGAACTGCCTACATGTGCAACTTCTGCGTAATGCCTCTTCACAAAGGGGAATGTTTCCAGAGATATCACACGCGCAAGCACTTCTAGAAGCTCTGGTAAGTGTTCTCCAAAAATTTCAGTTCATAAAATTAATCAGGAGATTTTAGATTAATTTTTAAAGTGAACAGTGCACAAGTTAGGGTACTAGGTTTAAAAACGCCGGTCCCCAGGGTGATTTAAATGTTTAAACCACCTGTCCGCAATGTGTTAAGTGAGGTTCCACTGTATTTGTACTGTATGCTGTGAATACTGTTAAGTAGATTTTCGTTAAGTGCCAAATAGGCATCAGTTATATTTCTGGACTCCTGGATATAATTGCAAATTTATCATTTCTTTGTATAGATGGGTGTATTTGAAGGTAAGCAAGGAATATAAATTCCTTTCCAGAACTTTATGCCTTTCATGTTACTGCAATATCCATCAACCAATTTGTATTCTTGTCTTTTCAGGGAAAACCAGAAAGAAAATAGGGGAGCTAAAGAGCAGGAAGAAACAGAAACATTTTGCTCCAAAACGTAATCATCCATTGAAATTAAAAAATCATGAGAATGATGGAAACAAGAATGAGATATTGGACTTGAACCCATGCCTCACCAGTACTCCAAAAGGAATAAGTTGTAAAGAAAAGAATCAGAGGTCTCCATGTTTATCCCCAATTCAAAACAGCATTCATATTTTACCAGAAATAGGTCAGTTTGGTCCATCTTGTAAAACCAGTAATTTACTCTCGGTGATGGTTGAGGGAAAAGCTTCTAGCAGTTTGTATAAATTTTCAGTCCACAAATTAGAGTCCCTTGATGTGACTGCTGGTGCCATATCTGCTAATTCAGTAAATGTGACAGATATTCCTAGCCAATTACACTCCTCTAAAGTAGATGAAAGAATTTTATCTACCATGGAAAATTCAAATCAACTTCATGGCATGAGTTCCGAATTGAGAAATTTAAAGGAATCTTTCACATGTAAAGATCAAAGAATTGATTCTGCTAAACAGCCATTTGTGAACCAATCTGGAAATGGGGTCCCTATAAATGGATCTTTCCTAAGTTCACCAGTTCACCAATGCAAAAATACTGATTTGAGAAGGCAGAAAAGTAGAGAATCCAAGTGTATGGAAGGAGCCATATGTAAAAATGATGACGACTCTGTAGAAAGCTTTTTAGGTTTTCCAGATGTACCTCCAGCACAAGATTTATGTGGAAATGTGGGAAAAGACTTTGTTCTTACAAATTTGTATTCTACTAGTGACAGTAACCAGTATTCTGTGATTAATGAAGATACTGAGAAGTGCAAAATTAATAGAAATCTTTCTCAATCAAAATCAACAAATGTATCAGTGATACTTTTTGATTCATGGGATTCAGTACAAGATAGAAAGTTAGAGCCTACCTCTGAAAGTAAAGTTTGTGACCAGGATCAGGTTTTAAAGTCTGGAATGCTGAGTAGTGATTCACAGAGATTGTTATACCCATATCATACAAGAAGGCATTGTGCCCAAAACTCTGCAGTACGAAACATTAAAGAAGGATTGTGTCATATTAATTATTCAGGAAGTCAACGAGCTCAGGAATCTTCAGTGCTCAGTACAGATACAGGATTATTATGTAGTAGTGTTTCCAAAAACCTTGTTTTGCAAGATTCTTCAGCAGACACAGATGAATCACAAATTAATAAGCAAGACCATACTACACAGGATTCTACAGTGTACGATACAGACCAAAATGAATTGTTATGCAGCAATATTTCCAAAAGTTGTATTTTACCAGAATCTTCAGTCGTGAACAGTGATGCAGGTAAATCACATATTGATCCTTTCCTTTCTAGGAATCATCCAGTATATACAGGAATTGGTCAGATTCAAAACTTTACTGAAAGCATGGGTGTGTCATGGTTTCATGCCTACCAGTGTGGTTATTTAGAATTACCCAAACATTTTATTGTTGAGGGCCACAGTTGGTTGTAATTGCAGTCACTGAGATAAATTCTATAGGTACATAATTTGTCTTCAGTATGTATCACCTGTAGTTTGAATTATTTATCTTTTGTCCTCTCAGCTGTCAGAAGAACATTGTGTAGAGTGAAAAACTTTAACTAAATCCTGGATATAATGTTTATGATAGAAAGTTTGAAGGTATCTTTTACCCCTGTTTCTTTTTCATTGCATATCTTTGTTTTATTAAATGGTTATGGCCTTGGTAGAGTATGTGATTCCTACTTTCCTTTAAGTGCTTCCATCTTTATAGAATTCATGATCTGTAGAAAACAATTCTATATGTATACGCTTCCAAAATTGTCATCTTTGGATAGGCCACAAATGCTCTGTTCCATCTCAAGGGCCCTTTTGGTCTTTAGCATCCATTTTTGTGTAATACATTTGACAGTTCTTACTGATTCCATACAATGAATATTGTAGCATGTATAGCTGGGCAACGGCATGATAAACGTCTCATTGTGTAAGTGCACTCAACAATAGGACGAATGTTTATAGATTGTTGCTAGGCAACAGTCAACGCACCAGTGGGCTGGCGAGATAGCTGTCACGTGACTGGCTTTCTATGGGGTCCGTGCCATGACGATTGCTATGCAATTGCATACAATAGAGGCTGTGTTTTCTGCATGGTTGGTGCAGTTACAGACATAACAAGTTTCAGTTTTACGGGGGGCGTTCAAGTTCTGAGGTCTCCGATTTTTTTTTCTCAGGACTGGGAGTAGATAGGCACATGCGGTTTAGTTTAAAATACGTGTGTACTCTTTGTGAATGCGTGACAGAGATGGCAGTACTGTATGTCACACAGAACCCTAGTGGTGGTGACGAGAGTGAGGAGTGTTTTGATACCTAAAATGGCGACATTTTCGTTACAAGAACAGTGAGTAATCATTCGTTTTCTCCACTTGTGTGGTGCAACACCCATTGAAATTCATCACCGGTTGAGTGAGACATGTGGTGATGGTGTCATGAATGTGAAAAATGTACGTTCGTGGGTGCGACAGTTCAAAGAAGGCCAAACGTCATGTGACAATGAACAAAAACAATCTCGGCCTCGCACCAGCCGGTCTGACAACATGTTCGAGCGAGTTGAGAAAGTGGTTTTGGAGGATCACCGATTGAGTGTGGAAAACATCGCCTCCAAAGTTGGCATTTCCGTGGGATCTGTACACACAATCCTGCTCGAAGACCTGTGAATGTGGAAAGTGTCCTCCAGGTGGGTGCCACAAATGCTGGCGGATGACCACAAGGCTGCGTGCATGGCAATTTGCCACGCGATGTTGACACGTGATGAAAGAATGAATGGGACTTTCTTTTCATCAATTGTGACAATGGATGAGACGTGGATGCCGTTTTTCAATCCTGAAACGAAGCGCCAGTCAGCTCAATGGAAGCACACAGACTCACTGCCACCAAAAAAATTTCGGGCAAGCGCCAGTGCTGAAAAAATGATGGTGGCCATGTTTTGGGACAGCAATGGCATAATCCTTACTCATTGCGTTCCAAAGGGCACTACGGTGACAGGTGCATCCTACCAAGATGTTTTGAAGAACAAGCTCCTTCCAGCACTGCGAGAAAAACGGCCAGAAAAGGCTGCACTTGTGCTCTTTCACCAGGACAATGCACCAGCGCATCAGGCATACGCGACGCAGCAGTTTCTTTGTGAAAACAACCTTGAAGTGGTTCCTCATGCGCCCTACTCACCTGACCTGGCTCCAAGCGATTTTTGGCCTTTCCCAACAATGAAAGACACTCTCCATGGTCGCACATTCACCAGTTGTCCCGCTATTGCATCAGCGATTTTCCAGTGGTCAAAACAGACTCCTACCGAAGCGTTCACAGTGGCCATGGAATCATGGCATTGACGTTGTGAAAAATGTATACGGCTACAGGGAGATTACATTGAAAAGTGACAGAAGTTTCAAATTTTTTGTATGATTATTGTGTGAGAAAAAAAATCGGAGACCTTAGAATTTGAATGCACAACGTAAGTGACAGTGACAAAGTGGAGAGTCCAGGGGGGTTCATCAGTTTGAGAGAACAAGGACAAGAATGGAGCATGTGATTTGAAGACTTTAATTATGTGTAATATTTGGAGTATGTGACTCTGTGAGACTGTGCTAGTTTCTGTGTTGAGATCCATTGCCAGGAGACAATCAGTGAAGACATAGAATCCTAGTGCATGTGCAACGGTAAAATGGGAAGTGTGTAAATCAGCAATAGCACTATATCTCGTATATTTACTTGTGATTAAGGGAGGTTTTAACCAAAGTGCCAGTAAATCCAATCATCCAAACTAGAACCCACCATTTTCATTGTGTGTACCACCTACACATGACAGTATGTTTATATCAGGTGACTTGTATTCCTTGTATTTGTGTCTCTCAGTTGATTCTTGAGGGCATGCCTAGAAACTCCCAAAAAAGTTCATTTCCCATGTTTCTGTTGTTACTTTACTGTATTTATGGTCCAAGTCTCAGAATCATACATAAGTACAGGTACTGCCATCACATTTTAAAAGTTATCTCTTATCCAGTTTTTTTTGTGAGATTCTTTTTATTGTGCAGCACATACTTTGAACTTTATATCCCTTTTGTATTAATATGTTAGAGATTATTGTCTTCTGTGATGTGATGCTGTGCAGTCTGGTAGGAAGTTATCATTGTTTCAGAAGAACCTGCTTTCTCCATCTTCAGATTAGAAGAGTGCCTTCTTGTATCTTGAAGGTGGTGGCAGGCTGTTAATCTACCAGACTACAGTCCATTCGTGGAGACGAGAGAGTCCTTGTAAACAAATGCATGCGGTGTCTCCTTCGCTCTTTGAATGAAATCATGCAGCGATCACGTGATGCGTGTTTCGTTGCAGGGGCGTCCAAAGTTCACTCTTCAGTCTGAATGCAGGTTAACGTGCGTCTGAATGCAGTGAGTACACTGAAGTAACTGCGCGCTTTGTCCACTCCTTCCTGTCAGCTGTGGCGACGCGGGGCTTGCTTTGTTTACGCTGACTGTCTCGTCTCCACGAATGGACTATACATGGTTTACATCCCAGAAGACTGTAGTTTTCATATCATTGCCTGAGAACTTCAAGTTTCTCTTAACAGTAAAGATTTGAACATTTTGATTGCTATGGTCAGTGTAGAAATATTCACTGTCATGAATCCTTGCTTTGAAAAAAAACAGTGGTAAAACTGTCACAGTATTAACCAGCCACTTGCACTTATTTTTATAATCTCTAGAACTGCCTTTTTCAGCGATGTTCAACAGAGAATGTGGTTGGTCCTCTTAGTCTTAACTGCCTCAATTTCACAATTTTGACGTGATGTTTTTCTTATTGTGAGTGAAACTAACGTTTGCCAGATATTCAAGAAAATGAAAAAATTTTCACTGTGAATTAACAATAGTTCGTATTATTGGTGTTGTCTTTTTAAAGGAAATGTACTGTTACTAGGCATTTCTGTGCAATTTTATGTCAGTAAATTTAATGATTGTCTTTCATATTATCTTTTGCTTATTCCACAGACATTTTGTATGTCAGTACTATATGTTCCCTATTCTAACGTTATTAACTTTCCTTAGGTCATGTTTCACGTGGCAGGCCTTATGGAAATGGGATTGAAGCTTTGGGTTCTGTAAGAGTGAGGAATATCTTGAGTAGCAGTATGACTCTTCTTTTCAAGAAGAACTCTGCTCCACACAGTTCATTAGTTTATGTTTCATCTGGCTGTTTTCTTTATTTATTTATTTGTAGTTTTAATGACGCTCTCAGTAAGGTAGGATTATATAGTGTCAGATGAATGGTTGGTAGTGAATAATGAATTGAAATTCATGTGGAAGGGAGCAGTTGTGACTTAATATAAGGTACTATCCCAGCATTAGTCTCAAGGGGCAGGAAAACAGTGAAAAACCTCAGGTTAGTCGATGTATAATCTAAGATTCTAACCAAGCGATGCCCAAATGTAAGCCAGAAAGGTTGTCACTCGAACAGAATTGTTTGTTTCTTGTCTGGCTGTTGTTTCGAACTGGTGAGTCATATATTTTTGACTTTGTTAGGTTACAAGCTTGTTGTGTAACTCCATATTCTAAAATCAGGAATTCCGAGCTTTGGTATCTTGTCCCCTGGAGAAGCTAGCTTCATTAGCACTATTGAGGTTCATAGTTCGTTTCTGTAATCATTATGAATGTATGAATGAATGAATGAATGTATAAGGGGTGGGCCTTTTCGGCCCTTGCACAGCCACCTGCAGTGATCTATTGTGCTTCCTGTAATCGTTACCTTGGGCAAGTATTTCTAATCCACTGAAACTGTTGAACCCCCCCCCCTCCTCCTTCCTCCTCCATAAAGAGGTGCAGTCGATGAAGATATGAACTTTATGAAGATGGATGTGAGCTTTGCATGATTTTTTCTTTGTTTTAGTTGCATCACAGTATTTTCAGCACTTGTCATGTATTATTGTTACTGTGTATAATACAGTTCACTGTCATGTCTCAATGTGGTCGAAAGATTTTTTGTGAAGAAAATACTTAGGAACTGATCAGATGAAGGTTGTAAGTTAGCTTTAATATTTAATTTAAAGCAATTTCTTTCTCAATAACTGACCAGTTTGGGAACACAGTGTCAAGCTTCCTAGTCTTTGAAGCTCCTTCCACTGCTCATCAGCCATCTTTTTTGGTAGTTGAATGTGTACACATTAGCAAAGCACTTAATCTGTATTTTCACTCAGCAGGATGGTTATGTGAATCCAAGAGAGCAAATTGTATTGTAGTGAAAGGAATGAGGGACAGAATGTTTATTATAAATTAAAGAAATAAACCTGTTTTCCAAATAAAATGACAATTGCCGCATAAGTTGTAGGTTGCACATGTCTTACTTATTGCATGATTATGTCTTTGTTATCTTTGTAATACCCTTAGGGCAGATTAAGATGTTCTCATGAAACTTTGAATGACCATATTGCTAGGGCCCCCCCACCCCAACCTTTGTTTTAATTTTCTTATGTAAGTGGTACCACTGTGATGGCTGTGTGAATTTTAGTAACTGTAGCATGACTTAATACAGGGGTTTCTGGCAAACTTTTTATGAATTTCTCATCTGCTCTGTGCATGCTATGTGCCCACCCCATCTCATCCTGCTTGATTTGATCAGTCTAGTGTTGGTGAAGCACACAAATTATGATGGTAGTGGTATAACATAAAGTAAATTGGGTTACGTTCTTGAATATGTGGCTTGTTGTATATTTAATGACTTTTTTACTTCTTCAGGGAAACAGTCCATTTCTGTTAAATCTATAAAGAAGCAGAAGTCATTGAGGCGACAGTCATCTAGAAGATTGTCACATCAAGTTGTGCCGCATCATGCACATTTTAAATATGACCCAAAGTCACCAAGTTTTCGAGCTGTTTATCATATTTCACCTAGCAAAACTGCCAGTAACAGCAGGAGTGAACTGACTGGTATGTTACATAAAATTTTATGAGACTGCATGTCTTTTTTAATTAACCACCCCACATTGATGACAAAACAAAAGCATTAGTAGATCACAGTATTGTTATGTGGTTTTCTCAGACTGGGGTAATTTGGAAGTAGTCCCTCTTTGCACTAAGTAATTCAAGAAGCCCTATCAGCTAGTGGATCTTTTGTTTTCTTTATTATACCATGATTCCAACAACGATAACACAGTATCGGTCAACAGAAGTATGTGTGGTAGCCAGTGGTGTAATGTTCATTTTAAATATGTTAGCCCAGTTAACACTTCGAAAAGTAAAATAAGAATGTAACTTTGTGGTTCAGTGATACATCCCATACTGGCAGATAAAGCAAACTGATAATACATCATCTTCCACTGCCATCCAGCTCTTCACAGGCCTCTTAACTAGTTCCTGGTGGCGTTGTTGCTAATGCTAGCCATTTGTGACCCTGTGCAGAATTCAACAGTTCAATTTTGGTGCTCTTGTGTGTGTGCACGCATGCACATCCTGCATCCTTTTTTTGGTGTTATCATCTCATCTCTTCTTTAAGTCTTATAAAGCATCCCCACCATAGCAAACTCTTCTATGAATTTTGATCTCTAGATAAGTTTTAAATTTCTGTGCAGAGATGTTGATGTGTTTAAACAAGACATATGGTAAAGTCCATATAGGTAAACATTTGTCCGATAATTTTCCTATGCACAGTGGTCTAAAACAAGGAGATGCCTTTCAGCTTTGCCTTAGAATATGCAATTATGAAGGTCCAGGGAAACCAGGTGGGACTGAAATTAAACAGGACACATCAGCTGTTGGTCTATGCCGATGATGTGAATCTACTGGGTGATAATGTAGATACCATAAAGAAAAACACACAAACTTTAATTGACGCAAGTAACGAGGTTGGTGTAGAAGTAAACACAGAAAACTAAGTATATGTTACTGTCTCGTCACCAAAATGCAGGGCAAAATCATGACAAAGATAGGAAACACATGTTTTGAAAATGTGGCACAGTTCGGATATTTGGGAACAGTGATAACAGATCGAAACCTGATTCAGGAGGAAATTAAGAGGAAATGGAACTCGGGTAATTCTTGTTACCATTCAGTTCAGAACCTTTTGTCTTATTGTCTACTAGCCAAAAACATAAAAATTACAATATACAAAACTATAATTTTGCCTGTGGTTCTGTATGGGTGTGAAACTTGGTGTCTGACATTAAGGGAAGAACATAGACAGGGTGTTTGAGAACAGGGTGTTGAGGAGAATATTTAGACCAAAGAGAGATGAAGTGACAGGAGGTTGGAGAAAATGCATAATTAGGAGCTTCATAACTTGTACACTTCTCCAGGTGTAGTTAGAATGATCAAGTCAAGGAGTATGAGGTTAGCAAGGCATGTAGCACGAATGGAGGAGATGAGGAATGTATATAGGATATTGGTGGGAACACCGGAAGAAAGGAGACCACTGGGAGGACGAGGATGTAGGTGGGTGGACAATATTAGAATGGATCTTAGAGAGATAGGATGGGATGTTATAGATTGGATTGATCTGGCTCAGGACAGGGACTGGTGGAGGGCTCTTGTAAACACGGTAATGAACCTTTGGGTTCCATAAAATGCTGGGAAGTCCTTGAGTAGCTGCACAATTTGCAGCTCAGTGAGTGAGTGAGTGTGTGAGTGCAGAGATGTTGAAAGTAGAATATGCTAGAATGGCCTTTTGTAACAACAGTCCACCTTAAAAATCCTGTGGACACCTTTCATAATAGAAGTAAAGGTAAAATTGACCATATTAACACACCATGAAGGTGTATGTATGGAATATATACTAAATGCACTGAATGGAGGTGTCAAGTTTCATATTCTGGGCACTACAGCCCAGGGGAAATGTCCACATAACCTGGGTCCCAAACCAGTCTTGACATGAGGGTGAAATGAAAAGTCCTACAAATGCTGTAAATTGAACCCCAGTTGTGCATTCCATAGTCATTAACCTTGTTGGTAGTATCTCAGCTATGTGTAATTCGGAATAGTAGCAGTTATGTGAAATTATATTTGCCTGTTTGGGTGGTTCCCAGTCTTCTGGGTATAACTGCTTGCCACTTAGCTGATTATTTTTTTTATTCTTTCTGTTCCCATCTGCCATTAGTTGAAGAAAGGAAGGAGTCCCACATGTGCAATATTTGTAACTCTGTGATGAACCTATAGTTGGTTAAATTTAGGGAGATTATCTTACGAGAAAATGAAGCTGAACTTCACTTCATGGTGTATCACCTTTCTTCAGAAGCTCAGCAGATCAAGGACTTTCAAGCATTATGGTGGAACACTGAGGTTCATGACTGTATTCATAAGGGCATGCCGGTTGTCCCTATTCTGAGACAGTTGAAGGCAGCTCATAACCTTAACATCTCCTTCATCATCATCATCATCATCATCATTATCATCATCATTATAATTGTCAAAACTGCCCTTTCTTAGAAGATCCTGCCAGATTTGTCCATTACAGGGAATTATACCTTCTGGTTTTCACTTCTTTGTATTTTGAAACAGTAATTTTATTTGCAGAGCAAAGTCATCAGCCTTATGTCCAGCCCCCAGCCTGGAGAACTAGGTCTCTATTTTTATCCCCCAATGACAGGAGGGCCCAGTTATGCCCCCAGACACCAGGTTCCCTTTTCGTCATCTTCTACGACTTGTAGGGCTATGGTGGAGGTATTCTAAAACCTTCACTCCTGTGTATGGGCTTGATTGTTTATGTGTGCTTAGATGTCTAGAAATAACTTGAGCATACTTTCAGTGTAGTGGCTCTAGGTGATTGCATTTCTCAGCCAGTTTTCCGTAAATCATTTCTTTTTTGTTTCAAATTATAAAAATAGATGGATGTTTGTTACAGTAACTCTACCTGAAGAGATTGAAGAATTTAAACTGCTCAGCATTAGTGAGGAACCTCTTGTTTGTGTCACTGCACGAGATACTGTGTTACAGCGATGTTGCCAGCTTGCACCCATTTCTTTCTCAGAAGCCTTTCCTGCAAGGTAGAAATTACAAGAGATTATTTATTTTTCTGATTCCTGCAATGCAGTGAAATCTTGCTAGCTTATATGCAAAGAATGTCATCAAATTTTTATTTAATTTTGATTTGAATAGAATTTTTTGAATTGTAATTGTTGCTGGTATATAAGATACATATTCTACCAAGGCCCTACCACCAAGTAGTTGGTATAGTGATCCAAGTGATGGGCATGTTGTATTGTCCAGCATTATAATCAGTTTGTACGTTAAAATTCTGGTGTGTGGATATTTTGTTACATCAGCATAAAGCCTGTAGATGGCCATGTGTAAAAAAGAAACATCTTTCTGAGCATAACAGTTTCTGTAGGTACTGGTACATTCAAGTAAAAGCTATTGTTTCAGCTACTGGTCAACGTGTAAGAAAATTGGTGAAGGTGTTTATGGTGAAGTCTTCTTCGCAGAGGAACAGGAGAGGTCTGTCCTCAAAGTAATTCCTGTTGAAGGTGATGCTATTGTTAATGGGGAGCCACAGAAGAAGTTCGAGGAGATACTATCAGAAATTGTAATTGCCATGTAAGTTACTGAAATACGTGGTCATAATCTTGTCTTTGGTCTCATTTGGTAAAGCATTTCTGTTGATTATGTTACAAAATTATAGGTATGTTTGTTGATGTAGAATTCCATATTGATATTGGAGATGTTTTTATCTATATTATATCAGCTTTTTCGGTATATAACTTTAAATTAATTAATTAAATTCATTCTTATGCCCTTTATTTTTTATTACCCAGCTGTCATGGTTATACATGCATTTGTTTCATCCCACTAACAAACTGATATATGTTTCGGGTTTATATGTTTCAGTACTTTTAAATAACAAAGAGTAATTTTATGCTGCCAATATTGTTTGATATAGTAATTTATTAATATCAGGTGACATCCCTACAAAATTTGTGTTTACTTTGAGCAGTGCTCAAGTTATATTTTGTATATGTTTGGGTCTGAAATTAAAACAAAAGCTATACCTACTCAGATGATATTTCAGTCTTGAAATTCGATAATTTTCAGATAACTGTTCTTTCTTTGCATAGTAGGACTCAGATGACATCCATTAGATTTGTAATGTTTGGCAGTAAGAAGCTAAAGGTAACACTATCCCTTTAACAGGCCGTGAAGGCCTATAGGGTTAAGAGATGACAGTTGTCTCATAGAGTTGGTAAGGTTGTCAGCCTTACACACTGGCCACACTTACCCCCCAGGAATATTTCTGATACTAATTTCTGTTAGAGGCTGAGTCAACCCAGGGCCATAGTGCAGCTGGAAGGATTAGGTAAATTGAAACAGAACCCACCTCATCGGGACTCGAACCTGCGACCTTCTGATTTGTAGCATAGTGCCTCAATCAGCTATGCTACCATGAATGGTTGGCAGTTGTAAGACAAATCACCAATCAGCATAATCAGTCTCTTCATTGCTTTCTTTATTTTTGTGGATGGAGTCAGCTTCTGTTTTTGGAAGGGATAAATAGTACACTTCAGTGCATTTTAAAAGAAGTGCATATTGTTTACAGTGGATAAATTGGTCTGGTAGAGAAAAATTTCAGTTTCATTTCAGTTCTCAAAATGTTTCCAAATTTTTGTTCTGAATTGAAAAAAGTCATTCTCACACGCATACCTAATAATCGCTTGCAGTAAGGGACTAACATGCTGCAGGCTTCTGCCAAATATGTCAAGAGGCTTTGAAGGGAAGAATGATTATGCAAAGTAAAATATGCTAGCTAAAAAATCATTAATTGTTAATATCATGTTATAAATAATTGAATATGTTTTAGTAATTAGTTGAAGTATAATGATAAACATATGGATGAAAGTTGAAAGGCAAGAAGAGCTGTAGCAGTTACTGTTGGCAGAAGCGGCCTCCGTAGTCTAGAGGTAACGTTCCCACCTCATCACTCGTAGTACGCAGGTTCAAATACCCGGCGGAGGTCGTCGAATTTTTAAGGGCGGAAAAATTCAGGGAACAAGTCCTCTGGGAGGGACTTTAAGCCGTGGGTCCCATGTCGTATCTTTACGGCACGTAAAAGAACCTCATACCTCCAAAGGAGGTCACTGAGCCAAAATTGCGGATGTTTCCCGCCCAACAGCAGTCACTAATACCTCCGGTAGATGGGGGAAACATTATAGATACCTCTCAGCCAGTAGAGCTGGTCTCGCTGGCTGGGCGGGACTGATGGTAAGCACCAATGCCGGTAGGATATAGAGACTGGTAGAAATCATAGATGGAAGCACAATGGACCACTACAGGTCTCACTGCACACTAACTAACTACTGTTGGCAGAGCTGTTAACAGTGACAGTGAAGGTACCTGACAGCAGTCCTTGGCACAGATGAATTCCTCCAAACTCAGTTTGCTGATGATCTGCTGAGCCGAGGGACCACCATGTATAAAGTTTGGAAACCACTGCCTTTGCATCAGCTTTCCAAATTGATATTTCTAACAAAATTCCATTGTTTTTCTGGTTTATGATGATTTTATATTTTTAAAAAATACATTGCACTGTTTCAAAAATAAGAATAGTGCCATCAGTGTAGGAACTGGCTATGGGCTGGATGACCTAGGGTGTCAGAATTTGAGTCCCTGTAGGGTCAAGAATTTTCTCTTCTCCACATCATCCCAACTAGATCTGAGGTCCAATGGGTACTGGGGGCTCTTCCTGGGAATAAAGCGGCAGAAGCCTGAAGCTGACCACTCACCTCCAACTAGTGCCGAGGTCAAGAAAATGTGGATATAGACATCCACTCCCCCATGCACTTTCGTGGCATAGTGCTTAATTAGGTAATTAGTACATTATGAATTCTAGTTCCCGGTAGCATAGTTGGTTGAGGCATTATGCTACAAGCTGGAAGGTCATGGGATCGAATCCAGATGAGGTGAATTTTTTCAATTTACCTAATCCTTCCAGCTGCACTATGGCCCTTGGGTCGACACAGCCTCTAACAGAAATGAGTACCAGAAATCTTCCTGGGGAGGTAAAGGGTGGCTGGCGCATGAGGTTGACAACCTTACCACCACCTATGAGCCAATTGTCTAGAAAATATGGGAACCTCAACATCTCACAACTGTATGGTCCTTCACGCCCTGTTATAGGGATACCTTTACTTTTTTTCCAATCCTAGTGTGGTGCCAAAGGAACTGATATCTTATTTGTGCTACAAAATCAGAAGGTTGAGAACTGGTGTACTAGACATAAGCATTGTGACTTACCTCCATCCTGTCATTTTAATTGGAGTGGTATGCAATAATGGTAGTGAATTGCTGCTTTATTGTCATAACTCTGGTGAACACTTTTTTGTAAATATGAAATCTGTGTACATTTTGTGGAATATACAGAAATTTATATTTTCATGAAAGGAACACAGACATAGAAAGTTGTCTGTTGTAATGTTAAAACACTGTAACTGCAGGATTGTATGAGTACTGTGGTTAACTTCTGGGTTCCACAGAGGGATGGAAGTTACTTCTCTAACTGTATAGTTGTTAACATCTTAAGAGGGACTCTGATTTATGCAGTTGGTTCTGTTAGTTCATACTTTCGGTAGTATCTTCTTTCATTCTTAACTGTCCAATTTGCAGGGAACTCAGTGGTCTTCGTAATGGTACAGAGAACAGAACTTGCAGTTTCTCAGAAGTAAAACGTTGCATTTGTGTTCATGGAAATTACCCTGAAGAACTTATTAGACTATGGGAAGATTATGATAATTGCAAAGGTAAGTTGCAGCAAACATAGCACATTTGTAGAGGACATGTGTATTCCCATGATTTTATTCTCCAAAGAAAACATTAAAAGATATTTATGCTAAGGTGAATGTCTTTATTCATTTACTATTGCCTTGCAGCAAACATGATATTTCTACAAATACAAGAGGCACCTCTTGTATGAAATTTGTGCTTTAAAACCCAGGGCATGTGTCAAATTAGAAAATTTCCTAATAAATGATCTGATATGTGGGGTGAACATAAAGTCACTCTCCACCTATTGTTAATCTTCCTGGGGATAAAGGGCAGCCAGTGCTTAAGGCTGACACCTTCCTGCCATCTCTTAGTCGATTGTTTAGAAAATGTGGGAGCCCCATGTCTCACAGTTCTGTGGGTGTCCCTGGCCTGTTACAGGGATAGCTTTACTTTTACCTGAGGTACAGCAGTTGTAGGCTATGGCTTCCATGTGCTTGAGGACACACATTTACTTGCTGAATTTTGTTTGCAAAGATGTGCTAGTTTAATCAAAGAGTGGTTTCAGTAAAATTTATGATGGCTTCTTCAAATCCAAGGAAATTATGAGGATTTCTTCTGTGCACCGCCTCCAGCTAGTTCCAGAGTCAAAAAAATGTGGATCTATACATCCACTCCCCCACGCCTTCATGGCATAGTGCTTGCTTAGTTAAGCACAGAGGCTGCGCCATAGCTCAAGCGGTTAGTCACTGGCTCCCCACCGCGGTGGCCCGCGTTCAATCCCGGGTTTGGTCAAGTGGGATTTGTGGTGGACAAAGTGGCACTGGGGCAGGTTTTCTCCAAGTACTTAAGTTTCCCCTGCCAATATTCATTCCACCAATTGCTCCACAGTCACCCTCACCTATCATCTGGGGCTGGTACAATAGGCCAGAAGTGGCCGCAGTACAAGGGACTTAGTCCCACCCCACTAGCAATAAAAAAAATAATAGTTAAGCACAGGGACAAATTTACCCTTTACTGCATTGTCGGTCTAGCAGGTGCCGCATAGATTCAAATTGCTTGACTTGGCATTAATGACAGTTTGTAATATTCAAGATATTGAAGAAACTGTTATTACTTGCTTATGTTGCTTTCTCCTTTGTAAAGCACACTGCTTCCTAGATGAATGAATGCATAAGGGATAGGCCTAAACTAACCCTGCTCCGTAGCTTTGAACTATCTGTTGTACATCCGCTTCTATTTCAACCCTTCTACAATCCTGCATTTCAATTGAAGTGTGGTATACTAACAGGGGTATCTTGATAGTTACTTAGCTCCATGTAGTAATGGCCCAAGTGGCAAGAGGAGCTGTTGGAAGCAGTGTTTTGAGTGTGCTCAGCACTGAGGCTATCTAGCGAGGACCAATGGGAAACGTTAGTCAGGGGATTATGAAGGCTCCCAGAGCTGTCAGACAGTAAAATGACGGCATGAGTTCCATGGGACATGGAACCAAGAATCACTGTGCAGGCTAGGGCCAATGGCAGTTTAACAGCCAGCCAAGTTGGTCGGTCAGATTCAGCGGTTGGCAGTCAGTCTGGAGTTGCACTGTAAGCAGCCACTGCCTAGCAGTAACTAATGAGCAAACAGAAGACTTTATGCATGCTGTAGTTGTATGGATATATATAAGTTCTAAATTTCAAGTATGTTGATATTCTGACCGTTTTACATCGGGCTTTTTATATATTTGTTTACTTATTTATTTCGTTAATGCATTCAGGGTCTGAGAATGATTCTCCAAGAATGTTTAAGGAGGATCAACTGTATATCATCTTGGTCTTGGCTTTTGGAGGATGTGACTTAGAAGCACACTTCTTCAGCACTGTGGAGCAGTCACATTCAGTTTTTATTCAGGTATTGCCATTCTGCATTCCGTAGCTGTGTTTTATGTTGGCAGTGAAGCTCTCTGACTTGTAAGCTTCCAAGTAGACCTTCTGTTTTATAGATTGCCCATCTTTCATACCCAGATTGAAGGTGGAGATGCCACTTTAAGACTTCAGAATTTTCCAGGGACACAATTTGTCTGGCCCCTCAGTTTCAGCCTACAGATAGCTACACTACTGCCTGCATAACTGTGACAAGATATGGCACTAATGTGTGAGCATGGTGTTCATGAGATGAAAGTGACAGAAATGATGATTTTCAGTCATGAATAGACAGAAAATAAAAGTAATGAAATTTGTTAGAAACTGAAGGTAATGATACAGTTGAAGGGTTGGAGAGCCTGTATAGGTGAAGTTGGTGAAGCCAGGTTGCTGAAAATAGTCAGGAATGACGTACTCACACAGGAAAAATTAAAAGGATGGCTGAAGTTAGCTGTAAAGAGACTTTTGACTGTGTGGATAAAATGGGAAAAGCCAAGTAGTTGGGAATCCAGGAGTTAAAAACCTAGTGGGTAGCAAGTTAAAGGATGTGTATGATATGCTGTAAAGAGGATTTTTATGCCAGTAAGGACATCGTGGTCTCTCTGAACTATACATTTTTGCTTCAGAATTCACGTTGAAAAGGATGACAGTAATGTAGCCACGGATATGTTACATTTCCATGTCCTTTATGGCATTTTAGTTGTGTTTTACAAAACAAAATAAAATACCTGTTATTTTCTTTATGCCTCTCTCAAAGAAACAGTGGCCAGTGTATTCATACCTGGAGGCAGTCTCCTCCATGATATCACATCAGAACTTGTTAATGTCATACTGTACATAACAAAACAAGTGAACAAACTCCGTGGCTTTAGTCCACAAGTGAACTATGCTGACCGAGCGACTGCTGCTTGTCGGCGAAGTTAGTGCCAACTTTAGCAGATATAGGTGTCATGTGGTCAGTGCAACAAATCCCCATGACCATTAATTTCTGTTTTCTACACCGTAACGTTTCCGTTCAAGTAGCTCCTTAATTATCCGCAGGAGGCTGAGTGGACCCCATTCCAGACCCACTACTTTTCAGAAAATCTGGTAGCGCCTGGAATTGAATCCACGAACTCTGACCACTAGGCCACAGAGGCAGTCCAATACTGTACAAAGCAGTTACATAAATTAACTCTTAAAAGGCAAATTTGTGAGTAATGAGAAGGTAAAACCAAAAGGTTATTATTATTTTCACTGAGAAGGAAAACCTTGGCTCCTGCAGTGTATAACACGATAATGCTTCCTGTGGTGGATGAGTGGATTCTGGTGCATGTGGAATATTCTGTCATGACTAGATTCACACTCTTCCATCAAAAGAAGATCGTCACATGTCGCCCTGTACAGAATGATCAGTTTTTTTGATGATACTGGGTTTTAATTTTTCAGGTGGTATGTCATGACAGGTTTCTGTGATTGTTTTTAATTTTTCCATACCCGATTTTTTTTAAATGCAATTGTCATTATTTTCATCAACAGCCTCCTTAAAAATTAAAGTCATTGACACCTTTAAAGTGTCTGTCCTGTTGTGACTTGTAATTTTGAATTCTCTTTAATATATGAACTTCATTTTTTATGTTTGCAGCATTGATTTAAATAATCAGAAATCTCTCAGTAATTATCCTGATATTGATTGTATTTTATTTCATACTTATTATGCACAACTTTTGCTTCATGTAACACTGTCTTTTACTCCATTAGGCAGAAGGAAAGATACTGATGTCCACAGTTCTTCTTAGTTCACTGTTAATTTCATGTAGGGTATAATAAAGTACACATTAGTTTTTGTTTATGTGTATGAGAATATGGTGTGTTCTCTCAACCCGTTAGACTGGCTGTGCGCTTGCAGTTGCAGAGCAGGTCCTGGAATTTGAACACCGTGACTTGCACTGGGGAAATGTCCTTGTTTTACCAACTGCTGAAAAGAATGTCACATTTAGAATATGTGGGAAAGAGTACAGTATCCCTACAAAAGGAGTTCAGGTGAGTACTGAAGGCTTGTGACATAAAAAGCATATTATCAGAGTTCAATTGCATGACCGGAGTTCTATAAGAGAGTATTTTTCATTCAAAATGTCACTTATGGAATACTGTTCTGTTTTTAGAGCAGGCATGTCAAACTCATATGCTTTTGATCCTTATGGCCAACCCACATCATCAGATGAAAGAATGGAAGATTTGATAAGATATTTATATTGAAAATGTTATTACATATTATACAATTAAGAATCCTGAAATTTTAGTGGACTCTTAGGGATATTTGGAGTTGAAACACTTCAGAAAGAATATGGTAATATTATATAGAACGAATCGACTTTGTGCTCTGATTAATGGAGCACAGAGTGGACTATGAGAGATGGTTATAGACAACTGAAATGAAGTTATTGTAAAATCTGAAGAAATGAAGAAGCTGGAATAAAATCCAAAATCAGGACTTTGGATGTGATGTAGAAGTAGAAACAGTACAGGAGAAGTTGGTGAAATGAAGGACACAATCGTATGAACAAGAATGGCAGTGGAGGTTTTTTTTTAAGAAAGTAATGAATTTCTGCAGATCTCAAAAAAATATCATGTTTCACTGTGACTGCTACACAGAAAAACATTTTCTAGTGTCTAAGAATGCCATGTGTCTGAAAGGACTGTTGTAAATGGAACACAGTATAATAATCACATTTGCAAATAATTTAAATTTATTTTTTTAGGTGACTATTATTGATTTTACACTGTCTAGAATGGCATATGATGGCTGTTCTATTTACAATGACCTGTCAAAGGATCCAGAATTGTTTACCAGTGAAGGTGATTACCAATTTGAAGTTTATCGTCTCATGCAGAAACACACTTTGTAAGTTCTGTACTTCATAATAGTTTTATTCAAATATGCCTCTTTATTCTTCACAGTGTAGATTATATGTAAAGTAGTTCCTTCTGGCTGAATCCCTTTATGAAGTCCATAGTTATATAAATAGTCAGTGATAGTAATGTTTTAAAATATGTGAACACATGTTCTATTTAACATGTCTGCCTGTTCATCTGCGTGAAGAAACTGCATTCACAAATGGATACCCGCATGGATGCACACATATGCACAAAGACTACAGGCTTGATGATCAAGTACGTAGGTTGTAACAAAAGTCATGAGCAACTTTTCTTTGCATGCAACTTGGGAACAGCAGACGAAAGAGAGTACGGTGGTGGGTGGAACCAGCTGTTGTGTTAACCTTGAGTGTCTTGTGACGTCAATAACTTGCATCACTTGACCAGTATCACTCCTAACAAGATGGCCGACAACGATATGTCGTTTCGCCAGCTTGCTGTCATCAAATTTCTTGTGAAAGAGGAAATCCCTGCTGCAGAAATTCACCAGAGACTTCAGCATGCTTATGGAAGTGTGTGCATGGATGCGAGCAGTGTTTGAAGATGGGTGAAACATTTTAAAGATGGGAACACTGGCATCGAAGATGAGCCTCGGAGCGGTTGTCCTCAAACAGCCTCAACTGAACGCAACAAGGAAAGTGTGGATGAGATCATTCAAGATGACAGGCATGTGACTGTGGACACAGTAGTCCAAAAACTTGGAATAGGGCACAGTGCAGTACAGGAGATGATTGAAAGCTTGGGCTATAGGAAAGTTTGTGCTCGTTGGGTCCCACGGTTATTGACTGAAGACCACAAAGGTCAGCGAAAAGCCATCATCTCAGAACTGCTGCAGAGATATCGACATGAAGGCAATGATTTTTTGCTCTGTATTGTGACAGGTGACGAAAGCTGGTATCACCATTTCGAGCCTGAAACGAAACGGAACGGCAGAGTATGGAATGGCACCATTTGCATTCTCCATCAAAAAAGAAGTCAAAGGCACTGCCATCAGCTGCGAAGGTGATGGACACAGTCTTCTGGGATGCGGAGGGGTTTATTCTGGCCGAATTTCTAGAACCTGGGCAAACCATCAATGCTGCTCGTTATGTCCAGATGCTGCACAAGCTCCTTCGTGCATTGTGTGATAAACATCCGGGACGAAACATCATCATCCTGCATGACAACGCTCGCCCCCACGCCGCTCACCTCACATTGGAAGCAATTGCAAAGATGGGGTGGGAAGTTCTTCTCACCCCTCCTATAGCCCTGATCTGGCACCCTTGGACTAACATCTTTTTGGATTTGTGAAGGATCAGCTGCGTGGACAACATTTTGAGACAAGGGAGGCAGTTCAGAAAGCAGTGCTTCAGTGTCTTCGGATGGCTGGAACGGATTTTTCAAACTCCCAGAACGCTGGGAGAAATGTGTACAAAGAAGTGGCGATTATGTGGAAAAATAATGAAAGGTCTGTAGATTGAGGTGGTGTATTTGGTTTGTCAATAATAAAGCATGTTACTTTACAAAAAATTGTTGCTCATGACTTTCAGTAAGACCCTCGTAATTTTGATTTGATTCCTGGCAGGAGCAAGAGCTTTTTCTCTTCTCTACAGTGTCCAAACTGCTCTGAGGCCCTCCCAGCCTCTTATCCAGTGGGTACTTGAGGCTGTTTCCTCAGGCATAAAACAACGGGCTCATGGAGCTTACCACTCACCTCCACCTAATGGTGAAGCCTTACCTCCACTACCTCATATGTCTTCACAGCATATATTTAGTTAATAGCAGTATTTAATTTTTCCCTGAAACTTGTTTCTAACCATATCCAGTTTTGTCATACCGGTCAGTGCTCTTAAAAATTAATTAATCAATGAATCAATACTTTATGTCACCTTCCCTGCGGGCACTCTGCATCATCATTTGTATTACAGAATTTCATTTATGTATCTGTTTCTTGCTCAATTTTTGGTCTGTGTATTGTGTCACAAATGTAGTTGAATCTTCTGGATTTATGATAAAAATTGTTTTCAGCATGATATATAATTTGACATGAAAGAGTTAAGTATATGCTTGCCCATTCTACTCCCCTTTTCTGTAATGCAATGTTAAATTTCATTGGTTAGGTCCTGGAAGTGTTATTACTTTAGTGGAAATTCTACATTTTATGCACTGTGTCAATCTTACAGAACTGTCTGCATGATACTTTCACAATATCTTCAGTAAACCTTATGGTTCCAATAATATTGTCAGATTAAGGATCATGTGAATTGTTGAAAATATTCAGTGCTTTATGGATATCACCAGTTCACCCTAGTGAAAATAAGGGATAAGTAAACTTCAGTTAAGCTACTCACAGTGGCCCCACAGTCTAAGGCATCAACTGTCTTTGTTTGCTCAAATGGTGGGATTGTGGGTTCGAATCCCACTCAAAGTCATGGATGTCTGTGTGTGCATTTATTCTGTGTTTGTGTTGTCATTTGTGTAGGTAGCAGTCTTGTGATGGGCCAGTCACTTGTCCAAAGAGTCCTACCATCTCTATAAAAATGATTACAAAACTGAATAAGAGGCCAGGGCCCAACGAAGGGCTGCAGAGCCATTGATGAATGAGTAAAACTTAATTTAAACACAGAGTGCAAAGCAACAGCAAATTCAGCCAAAACAACTTTTTTTAATGTCTCATATACTATGTTCATGGGTCACTGATGGAGCAGGACATGTAACTGGCCTATGGCTAGTCTGTGCATGTGTCAGTGATTCAGGGAGACATCTGGTGGTTTGGTTCCTATTCCCATTGTATTTTAGATTGTACAGTGTATTACCTTTATTTAACCCTTTGTATGTATGTTATGTGCTCACATGATTGGCTTGGGTACTTGTGTCAAAAAGATCAGCTTGTCAGTGAATTAGTATAGCATTCCTGTAAATAGAAGGCATCAAGTCTGACACATCAGTATTTAGGTGATTTGTTCCTGTTACTGTTTGAATGTTATTTGAGGACACTATTGTGGGTTTTCTGTGTAACTGCAAATACTGCCACCAGCTTTGGCATCTTTAGCAGGCAGTCTTGGCTTAGCAGAGGCCAGCAAGTTTAAGTTCGAGTAGTATGCCTGTGGTGAGGTGTTGAGTGTTGCTTTGTGCTACGAGTGATCCCTGTAAGTTTGCAGTAAAGTATGAGGGACAGCTTATCTGTGACAGCAATAACTGAGGGGTAACCTAGAGATTGTATGCAATGAAAGTATGTAACTGAATTATTTTGGGTGGGAAGAACTTGACAGAGAATAGCTTGAGGAAATGGTGGGGTATGATCTGGGGGTAACCCTTATTTTGGAGGTGTTTGGTCAAGTCTCAGCTGGGACATAGTCATCCTTACTGAGGGTTCTTTTTTTGGTCCCTCTAGCCAGATGCCAGGGCAGTACCCTGGTTTGGCAAGAACTGTTTTCTTCCAAGTCCTTTCCGGTTCATCATTGATCACTCATCCCACCATCTGATGTTACATTGACTCAATACTGACAGCATGGTTAAATAATCCACACAAAATAATATTACTTGTCATTGTTTAATCTTTCCTTATATAACAGGTTTGATGTCTCTTCATTTTTTAACAATTGTTGAGTTAAAGTCTCATATCTGAGACAGTAAAATATTGTTGCGAGTCCCAAGGACTTGGATCTGAGAAGGACTGCGCTGGCGAGCACCAGAAGCATATACAAAAGACAGATCCGTCCTCTCGTCAGAGAGGGCGCCCCACAAAAATAAGACCATAACGGTCAAACGGTAATAATTAATATGTGGTCATGAGCCCTAGATGGGGCTCGACACCAAGACTTACTGACTGACTCGACGTCAGTCACAGTGTGCTTTGACTTTGACTTGTTGAGTTGTGTTTGTATGTTTATGTTACAGTAAATGGAATTTTAATTAACTTTCAGGAACAATTGGCAACATTTTAAGCCATACACAAATCTTCTGTGGCTGCATTACCTTTTGGATAAAATGTGCACTATGGTGAATTATAATTGTAAGTCATCCAGATCCCATAAACAAGGAATGAAAATGCTGGAGAAACTCCAACACATTGTACTTACATACAAAAGTGCACAAGATTTTGTTCTGAATGAACTAGTGTGATGTGTGTTCAGACTGCATGCAAAAACATTTTTGTATGAGTTCACCTCATTTATAATTTAATTTGAAGGTGGAACATTGATTTTGAAATGATATTTTCCTCATTGTACAGCATAAATTGAATATACTTATTTTTGTAAAATCACGAATTTAGAGACAGATGTGTTATTAAAAAATGTGTAGGTACATTGTTACAAATTATTTTTTCAATATCATGTATGTTTGTGATAGACATCCAGCCACCATTATTCAAACAGCTGTAGTATTACACAGTGAATTCTTGCATTAAAGAGATGGAATTTATTAATTGCAGAGTGTGGTAATTAGGTATGCTTTGAATTATCAGAGGAATGAATGTAGAATAAAATGTGTAGGTAGTAAATGAAATAATCAAAGTACAGGGAGAATAGGAGAACACATACGGCTGAAAGAAGTAGTTCACTGAACATTAATTTAGAGTTGTGGAACAAGGAAACCAGAAATTTGAAGTTGTGCACAAAAGTATGGAAAGATCTTATATACAGATGCACATGTAGAAAACTTTGTCATAGAACAGCCCATCTTAGTGAAACATGAATTATTGATGATGGTGGTCATGGTGATGATGACGACAACGATGATAAGTACTGCACTATCTACTGTAACTTGTTCATAAACTACTATTTTTTATGGACTTCTAGTTTCTATTAACCCTTTCCTGTCAAATGTTGATACATTATCAACAAAGTCTGTTTCATGTTTCTATGGTCATATTTTGATCATATGTCATTAGTTGGCACTGTAGACTATACCAACTGATACATGAATGTTTTGTCTGCATCCTTCTGCCATCTGGAAATCATAATTTGAACTTCCTGAGGAACAAATGCCATTTATATATTATGGCGTGTCATGTGTTAGCAGCATGCTTTAACATGCAGCCGAACGATGGCTCTCTGGATTGAAGACACTAGATGTAATCCCTTGTGTGATGCAGATGAAGAATCTAGTAGTGATATGTTAAGTGAAGAACTCCATATTGACCATGATGATGAGATTAATTGGGAAATTGAAGGAGAAACTGCAAGTGAAGAATCAAGCAAAGAAATGTCAAAAAGTGAGAGAGATAGCAATACAAGTGTTGTTGCATGTTGGTGGGTGGGAAATGATGCCACCAAATAAAGCAGTCGGTCCATCAAGAAATCAGGAAAGTACATGGGGTGATAAAACATATAGAGAAACACTTTCAGAAAAATGTTGTACCAGGTAAAAACATTGTAATAAGTGAATCAACAGTTTGGTTCAAGCACAAAATAATTGTCAAGACTTTTAATCCCCCCCCCCCCAAAAAAATGAAGTGGGGTATCAGATTATTTGCATTAATTCAAAGTGACACTGGTTACATTCATCATATAATTCCAAATTATGGAAAGCTTACAGGTGATGTGATCATTCATTTTTTATTTGTTCACAAGATCTACATTTGGCGATATTGCCTCAGATATAGAACACGTCCATATAGTTTAAATGTCCATAAGGACAGTGTCATAACAGAATACAGAAAGCACAGGTATAAAGATGTAAGTTTAAAAACATCCAGAGAACCATGCTATAACAGAAAACCTCATATACATAACAACAATTCACCATCATAACAGTAATTATAAACATGCAAAACACATGATAATGCCACCTATTTAACTTAAATTTCATCAGTACAATTTAAGGTATCTAAAATATCTTTGAGGACAAGGTTCCATAATATACAAACAACTTATAATACTAATAGATACAAAATAAAACATTTATTTTATTCACAATGCATTAAACTTGGTTCCAGATTCAGTCATGTTGCAATTACGATTTAAATCTTGTATCTTAAAAATATAACACAGGCCTACAAAAAAAAAAATTTTTTTTGGTGTCTAGGATTTTAGAACTAATTTTAGTTATATTTAAGGCGCTGAATCTAAATATAAAATCAGTTTTCTCTACCAGCTCTACTTTTTTAGATCAGCGTTTTTGTAACGTGCAGTTCTACACAAAATGTGCAGTTCTAATTGTCATATGCAAGGATTGGTTCCTGTATATTTGCCCTATTGTTAGTCTGCTGTCCACTGAGTTCCCCCAAAATCCACTAGATGGCATTGTCTGTCCGGTGTGAAGTGAACTTGAACGCTTCCACTAGAGTTGAGGTTAGTTTATATGTTCTCGCCGTGCAGGGTACATCGAAGTTGGCTTCGGGTGATATTTGTTTATAAAAGTAAAAGAGTTGTTATAAATTTAACCTAAAACGTACTGTGTTGAAGATTGTTGTGTTTGTGTTCCTGAATTGAAATAAAATGAGTTCAAGAAGAAGAAGTTGTATAAATCAACCTGATGTGTTTTGTTACATATGTGGAGAATACACGTTAAAAGAAAACAGAAAAACTGTTAGTGACTTTGTAAAGAAAGCTTATTTTGTATACTTTGGTGTTAGGCTTGGTGATCAGGATAAAACCTGGGCACCGCATCAGGTCTGTAAAACTTGTACAGAACATTTACGACAGTGGACTACCGGGAAAAGAAAAAGTCTGAAATTCGGCGTACCGATGGTTTGGAGAGAACCCAAGAACCACTTCGATGACTGTTATTTCTGCCTAGTAAATATTACTGGAATCAATCGAAACAACCGTAGCAAGTGGACTTATCCTGATTTAGCCTCTGCAAGACGCCCAGTTCCTCACTCAGAGGAAGTACCGATCCCAACGTTTCACCAGCTACCAGAGCTCTGTGAGGATGAGTATTTTCCCTCTAATCACCCTTCTGATTGTAATGAAGGTGACAGTGATTATGAAGGGATGTCGTCAATCCCTCAACGTTTTAACCAGGATGAGTTAAATGACCTCATCAGAGATCTCAACCTGTCAAAAGAAGCTTCTGAATTACTGGCTTCTAGGTTGAACGACAAAAATTTACTGGAACAAGAAACCAAAATTTCCTTTTACCGCACAAGAGAAACGGATCTGCTACCCTTCTTCTCTCAAGATTACAATCTTGTATATTGTCACGAAATTAGAGGACTCTTGGAAAAAATGGCTCTTCCTGAATATTTTCCCGATGATTGGCGCCTATTTATTGACAGCTCAAAGCGAAGTTTGAAATGTGTCCTTCTACACAATGGAAACAAATATGGTTCAATACCAATTGCTCACTCCACGAAAATGAAAGAAGAATATAACACCATAGCTTTGGTCTTAGAGAAGATAAAGTATCATGAACATCAATGGGTGATTTGTGTGGACTTAAAAATGGTAAATTTTCTCCTTGGACAGCAAAGTGGTTACACCAAATATCCCTGCTTTTTGTGCCTCTGGGATAGCAGAGACAAAACACACCACTGGGTTAGAAAAGAATGGCCCAAGAGAGAAAACATGTACGTTGGGGAGAAGAATATCATTAACGATCCCTTAGTTAGACGAGAGAAAATCATCTTTCCTCCACTGCATATCAAGTTGGGCCTTATGAAGCAGTTTGTAAAGGCCCTTGATAAGAACGGATCATGCTTTGCATATATAGAAATGAAAATGCCTCAGTTGAGTACGGAAAAAATTGAAGCAGGAATATTTGACGGCCCACAAATAAGACAACTCATTAAGGATCCTGCCTTCGCAAATTCGATGAACGAGGCTGAGCGAAAAGCCTGGACTTCATTTGTTGCAGTTGTCGAAAATTTTCTGGGCAAACACAAAGCTGAAAACTATGTTGAACTGGTAAACGAGATGCTTAACAGTTTCAAATCCCTTGGCTGTAACATGAGCATTAAGGTGCACTATTTACACAGTCACTTAGATAGTTTTCCTGAAAATTTAGGAGACACCAGTGAGGAACAAGGTGAAAGATTTCACCAGGATATTAAAACTATGGAGGACCGCTACCAAGGAAGATGGGATACACACATGATGGCAGATTACTGCTGGAGTTTAAAAAGGGACTGTTCTAAAATACATTCAAGAAAGTCACGAAAAAGAAGCTTCCGTAGTGTTCCGTGACTATAGTTGGTTTGACTGTTATATATAGTCGATGATTTTTTCCTCTATCTTTGTATTTAATATAATAAAATAAAAATATAATTATAATATAGTAATAAAAATTCCATGTTGAGTTTTTTTATTTGATCCACTGATTTAACTTAAAATAGTGTAACGTATATTTCACCAAAATGTTATATCTTAAAAATTTGAGCTCCTAGGCAAAAACTAATGCCATATTTGAATTCAGGGCATCAAATTCATATGAAATCAGCTCCAAATACCCCGGCACCAAAACAGCTGTTGGCCTGTGTAATATAATATTGCATTTAATCCTTATAGTCAAAAGTATTCATCCATGGTATAAAATGAGTGAAGAAATAAAAAAGTTTTTAATACCGATTTAAATTGTTCATCATTTTGAGATATCTCCTTTATTGTGGCTGGTAAGCCATTAAACACCTTTATTCCCGCATAATAGGCCCCCTTCTGAAAAACTATCAGTTGAGATAGCAGTTGATGTAAATCATGTTTTGCCCTGGTATTAACATTGTGAATGGCAGAGTTTGTTTCAAAATAATGTCTGTTATTGATCACAAATAAAGAGAGTGAATAAATATATTGTGATTTTAATGTTAATATTTTTAGTTCTCTAAAGTGTTTCCTACAAGACTCTCCACTTGTAATCCCCTTAATTATTCTTATAGCTTTCTTTTGTAATCTAAAAATTAAGGCACTATGACAAGTATTTCTCCAAAATATTATCCCATAGGTCATGATCGAATGAAAATAAGCATAGTATACCATTCTTACTACTTCCTGGGACAGGAGAGGCTTTATTATTCTTATTGCATAGCAGGCTGAGCTTAGCTTAGATACAGTTAAGTCTATAAGAACCTTCCATGAGAGACTATTATCCAGTATTAATATGAGGAATTTAGTATTATACACATTAGTGGTTTTCTCATTTCTGTTCATTATATTTAATTCAAGTAGCATATTAGCCTTGGTTACAAACTGCATGAGTTGGGTCTTTTCTACACTTAAAAGTAAAAGATTGGAAGTAAACCATTCATTTATACGTTGATATATTTTGTTTACAGTATCTTGAGATTCTGTCTAATTAATAGTACATATTAATGATTATACTAGTATCATCGGCAAATAAGACCATCCTTGCTCCATTGTTTATTGATACTGGTAGATCATTGATATAGAGCAAAAAAAGTAATGGTCCTAGTATCGAGCCTTGTGGGACCCCACGCCTTATCAATCCCCAATTTGAGCTATTTTTATTATTACTATCTAAACTCACTCTCTGGTATCTACTCTCTAAATAGGATGTGATCAATTTAAGTGCTACATCTTTTATTCCATAAAACTTCAGCTTCTTTAATAACATAATCAACACAGTCAAAGGCCTTACATAAGTCACAAAAAATACCTCCAGTCAACAACCTAGTATTTAGTGATTTTAATATTTCGTCAGTCAAACTAAGGGTGGCTTTTTCTGTTGATGCTCCTGGTCTAAAGCCAAACTGCTCAGTTGCCAAAATATTATTAGTTTCTATGTGTTGTAGCAATCTATCATATATAATTCTTTCAAACACTTTGGAGAATGAAGTCAACAGAGAAATCGGCCTGTAGTTTGCCATAATTTCTATATCTCCCTTCTTATATACTGGTCTTACTATAGAGTATTTTAATCTAGTAGGGAAATTTCCGATGTTATGTTTCTGTTACCAATATAATTTAAAGGGGAACTCCACAGTGTCCAGTCACTCACTTTCCGCAACCCGATGGAAATCCCGACTGCTCACTTTAGGACCTCAAACTTGAGAGTTTGTCCGAGGGCCTTATAATATCTTCACGCTTTCTAGACGTAGCTTCTGTCTCCTGATTCGTCCTCTGTGATGCCGCTGCGGTTTTATTATTATAGAAAAAATATTGTAAATGCAAAAAGGTATAGGCAATGCCCATCTGGCCTTCTGTAGCACATTCTTATAAACATATTTTTCTATAATAGCAGTAATCCCGTGATTCTTAATATAGATCTGAACTAAAATCTGAGAGTATACTGTTAATAATCAGTATAATTACTTCTTTTACTTTTCTTACATATCGATTTTATATAAATATAGGAATGTTGTTTATGAATTAACAGACGCCTTGCAGAAATCTTTTTTCTTCTAGCCTTAAGAGTTCTATAACTGACTTTGGGTATTCTTTTTTGCTGTTCTCAGACAAAATGTCCATCATTGTTGCCCGTTGGTTCTCGTACTGCTTGCAGTTCTAATAAGATATGTCCCTCTGTTTGCAGCCCATCACCACATTCGCAGTCGGCCGTGGACACATTTTTAAATCTGTTTGGGCTTGCTTTAAGAGTGGTGTGTCCTGCTCATACGGTTTATTGACACGAAGGCACGGCGGATCATTTTTATCTGTCGGAACCACGGAGACAGGCCATTCCTGTAGTACCTTTCAAAGTAGCAATCTCCTCTGTCCCGTTTGGTGTTTTGACAAAAACTTTGAAGTTCTTTTTTGTCTTTCTTTTTCCACTGCGTTTTAATATCTGCAACTGGTGATAATAATTGACTATCTCTGCTTCTTTGATTGTTTGCTTCGCCTTCAAGTCGGCCCTCTAATTAACTTCCACTCCGTAGTGCCCCGGGATCCAGTAAAATTGGATTCTTTCCCTCGCGATTCCAGTCTCTCTATTCTATCTTTAAGCACATGTGTAATGTGCTAGGTGTTGCTTATTGTAGAGGAGTTACTAATTCCTTTCAACACGCTTGCCGAGTCCGAGAAAATCATGAAGTTTTGCTCCGAGTCAATTTCTTCAATGTTTTCTAGTGTTTTGGCAGTTGCTAGCGCTTCCGCCGTGAATGTGGACGCTATCGTAGATATCCTGAATTTCATGCTACGACCATCTTTTACATCTATTATTGCGAATCCTACGAATGTTTTGTCCTCCATTTTTGAGCCGTCATTGGCGAAACATTTGCTGGTTCCCATTCTTTCTTGGAAAATCTTTTTGAATTCCTCGTCGTGATCTTCTGCTTCCTTGTTTGTCTTCCCTCATTGAAAGATACCTTGGCCTTGTGGAAGAGGCTTCCGTGTGTGTAGTCGAAGGCCGGGAGACAGTTTCTTCATTGGATTAAATGACCGAGAATGTAATATTCGCTGATGAATGGTTGTTCATTTTCTCCTCTCCCTGGATTGTCAACTAGGGCTGATAATTCTTCCAGCAGCTGGATCATTGGATGATTGTTTAACGTATAACACCTGGGCACATAGTTCCTTCCAAACTGTTTGAATGTACTAAAAATTTGGATTTCTTTGGCTTCTGCTAGCATTACATCGGTCGGGGTCCTGCTCCTATAGATCAGTGCTCCGCATATTACCCTATACTGTATCTTCTCTCTCTTTTGTGCTCGTTTCTTCTTAAGTTTATGGAATAAAAACGCTCCATATTCCATTCTCGACCTTATAAGTGCCTTATAGAGTCTCATTAAGATTACGGGGTCCGCTCCCCACCAAGTGTGCTTCATACAGTTAACGATTTTCATCGGGTTTTCGCATTTCCTAACTATTGCGTTTATTTCGTCCTCCCAGTCTAAATTAGATTTTAAGTGCAGACCTAAAAATGTAACTTATTTGACCGAAGAAACCGTTTCCGCTTGTACCGTGATCTCCCACTCTTCATCGGCTGTCCCTTTTTTATCGAAGATACAGAGTTGGCATTTTTTGGTGCTACGTGTATTTCCAAGCCACTTTCCAAAGTTAAGTGCTTTGTATGCTCTTTTCCACTTCCGATACGCCAATTCTGCTACATCTGTTAATTGAATAAACTGCCACGTCGTCTGCGTATTCCAGGATTTTGCAGTTCTGGTTGATTTTAGATTTCAGTCCTGCCATATAAAGTGAATATAAGGTTGGACTCAGAACACTACTCTGCGGTAAGCCCTTGTATGTCCAGTCTTTGAGAACTAGCCCCCCATAGTTTGTCTCTGGTTCTCTCACGGAGACCAGGTTACAGCTAACAGGTTTCCCGAGAAGCTTACTTGCCTTGAGTATATCCATCAAAGTGCCGTAGTGGACATGGTCGTATGCGCTTTTAATGTCAAGGAATAGGGCCGATACCGTGTTCCGTTCTTCAAACGCTTCCATTACTACATATTTCAGTCGTTTATATTGCTAGGTTGCCTTTGTAACCCTTTGTTTCGCCGAAATCCATATTGTGTTTCTGAGAATTTCTTATTCTTTTCTAGCTACCCGGAGATGCACATGTTTTCATCCGTTCTAATACCTTGCACACGGATGATGCCATGGATATAGGTCTTACATTACCGCTACCGGTTATCCTCTCCTTAGACGTAGCTGCCTTGGTCCTATATTGCATTGCTGCATTTGTGTCGCGCCCGAATATCTTCTCGAACGTCGGTTGTTTACGGGTTCCGGGTACATGTCTTTGCCTGGTCCTTGAAGACCATGTCCCTTGCGTGGTGCAGGAATGACACGGCGGGTCAATCGTCCTCGGTCAGCGACCAACTTCTGCCGGGACCCACTATCGCTTTGAGTCCGTTTCTTCGGCTGTCGGTGGTGCCCTACGGCTAGATGCCGATCCCCATATTGGTCCTCCAGTACTCTTCTTTAGGGATTTCCTAATGCTCCGCTACGTTCGCTACTCCTCCCTCTCCAGGTAAGTCTCCGTCGCTTCTTGGCAGGCCCTCTTTTCTTTTCGCAAGGCCTTCATTTCTTCTAGCTAGTCATCCATCTTCCTTGGCTGGCACTTACTGTGGATATCATTTCCACTTGGCCCGTCTTCGTTTCCTCTTTCGTTTCTTCTCTGCTGGCCTTAATTTCTTCTTCCAGGTGTTGGTCGGCTTTCATTTCCTTTAGGTTTGAGTCCGTTTCTTCTTGCGTGGTCTCTGTCCTGGCTTGTGGATATGCATCCGGGAGACGAGTACCTTGAAGGGCCTCATACTTCTCATTATTGACTCATATTTTAGCCTTCGTTCATTATAGCAAGGCATCCGTCTTGTTCGATTGATTCAGTCCTATCCAATTCAGTTGATGTTGTCAATCCAGTCGCACTTCTGGCACCAGTCGTCACGCGATGGAAGTGACTATAGAAGGGAATTGGATTGGTAATCGGATTTATTGAACACATATAGAACGTAACTACAAATAACTACGTCAGTCTCACTGAGTTACATACTCCAAATATCACTGTAACTACAGTACACATTAGGCCTAAGTCTTCTCAGTATTCCCTAGCCGTTGCTCGGTAGCGGCTTCAACGACGTTTCAGCGGCGCTTCTCGAGCTGCTCCCGGCTTTAGCTACAGCAACTGTCGACGACTGACTCACTCGCTCAGTCACCAATCAACGTCTACATGCAGTAATATATTTGCTGTCATTTATATCAACAGCTATAGAAATTACACCCGTTTTTAGCCTACTTTCCTTTAGGGAAAGGTCAAGCTTATATCACCATGCTGTGTGTCCCGTTTCACCTTCTTGTTGACATATTTACGTAATTGAAAGTTGGTATGAATACGGCCAGTGGTTGCCCTCCGATTCCATTCATTATGATTTCCTAATCAGTAATAACATGCTTGACACGCAAAATTGAGAACATTGAGAAGCTGGATTAACACATGCAACGCTGACGGTTAAGCTCTTCCCGAGCATAATGCCGTGAGAGACTCATATAAGTCATATAAGGCTCCTGCAGTTTATATGCTCTTGGCGCTACAGCGTTTAACCTCAAAAGAAAAGTTCTCCATGACCATAACAGTTCTTTTTACATTTATGCGAATAAATCACGGGTCTGGAGTCGTTAATACCTGAGGTTTCGTTATGCATCGCAAGAAACGGTGTCCTGTCCAATGGAACGAAGCTGGCGTCAGCGTCGGCGTCGTCGCCGTGGGACTTTGCAGTTTGCTGCAGGAAGAGAATTACGTAAAATCCAATGTACCCAGCAGAATAACAAGAATGTTTCAGTAATGCCGTGCTGAATTGCAGTACAAAATATAATCATGCAAACAAAGTAGCAAAGGTGTGTATAATGTCTTTCTAAGTTCGTAAAATCATATATCCCAGTCAATACCGAATATCCAGTGATATGGACCTACTGCAGAAAACGGTCTGGTCTGGTGTGCCTACACTTTCTTATAAGTCTTGTGACCTCGGATGTGTTGAAGGAGACAGGAAGGATTCACAGTGCTTCTTAAATTTTGTTGTCAAAAGACACCTTTATTATAATATTCGTTGCTGCCGTTCAAGCCAAAATTTTATATTATACTGTGGTAGTGGATTTTGGGAGTGCATATCATTAATAGTATTTCATGATGGTATAGAACTAAATTCTGTAATGTAATAATTGAAGTAAGGGAGCTTCATAAAGCACTATTACCATCATAACAGGCTGCACATTTGTGCCCATTATTTAAACTTCATTTGGGCCTGGTTATATTCTCCAATTTGGTGCAGGGAGAGTTGTCATTAATAATGGTTTATGATATTTTGCATCCTAATGGAAAATTGCCCCAAGAAGGAGCAACGTTTTCCTTTTGAGTCCGAGTTTGAGTCCAAACGGGCAAGATTTTTCTCCTCTCCACATCATTCATACCGTTTCTGGGGCCCACCCAGCATCTTATCCAGAGAGTATGGAGGGTTCTTTCCCCATGGGCAAAATTGTCAGAACGTGAAGCTGACCACTCCCCCAACTAGTGCCAAGGTTAATAATGGTGGAGATATACTTCCACTCCCCCATGCATCTTGATGGTGTAGTGCTTAATTAGTTAAGCACTGAGAAAACTGCCTTTTTACTGATCCACTTTTAAATTTTCTTTGGTGAGAAATGAATGCTAATAAGAAGTTATGCTCCATTTCTTTGGTAATTTTTATTATGTGGCAGTTTTACAATTGTACGAGCATTTCAGTGGGGCAGAGTATATGAAGTACATGTTCCAGAAATCGCTATGAAAGAACTAGACAAATTATTTGTAGTGCAAGTTCCCTTAGCTGTAAGTATGAACATTGTCATTTCCATGTGTGAGATGCATGTAGACCTGTGCGAAGAACGTATTTGGCTGGAGTAGGTAATCTACTCATACTGCAGTAATTCAGATTAATAGGGCAAATGGGTAGTGTAGAATTAATAAAGAGTCAGACTTACAGAACATTTATTATATGTTAATATTTTAAAGACAGTCTTCACAGCAACATAGTTAGACCAACACCTTAATATGTTCCTACCGTTTGATATCATCATCATCATCATCATTTATTTACATTCCATAAATCCACTACATATAGGATAAGGAATTAGTCATTGATAATACAAATAACACTACATAGAAATAATAATATAAATAACAATATAAGACATTCAATACCATAATCACAGTTGATTATTGGAGTCAAATTTACAATCAAAGTATTCTTCCAAAGAATAAAACGAGTTCATCAACCGTTTGATATTGTCTAATTGTCATTGGCTTAAAATATTTGGAGCTTATCTAGAGCTGTTTTGCTGTTCTTTGTTAAAACATATTCTTTCAGTCATAATACATACAATTATAATTATGTTTTAGATAACTTAAAATTGCACACTTTATTTGAAATACAGGTGTTATTTATGAGGAACGTGGGTAATGGTTTTATTGCTAGCCCTTCACATATAGAAACTGTTCATATGAGAGTTCCAGTCAGAAACATTATAAACTGAAAAATTTTTCAGCTTTGTTTTAATATAGTGTATGTCCTGTTGGCTGTGACTTAGCCACAGATAAAGTCTGTAATAACATGAACATCTCTGATGATAATTTCTTTATTATTAACCTTTATGTTTAATTTGGTTATTTTGTAGTTGATTGAATGAATGAATGAATGTATAAGGGGTGGGCTTTCTTGGCCTTGCACCGTGACCACAGTGTTCTATTGTGCCTCCCCTTCTGATTATCCCCTCAACAATCCTGCACGTCGAATGAAGCGTAGGATTTTGTACGTGGGGATGTTGAAATAGTCACTTGGTTCCATAAAATATTGACCCAAGTGATGCAATCTTAAATAAGCTAAGGCCTCACATTCATTTTCTTCTTGACACCTCTCACAAGTTGTACTGTTACTTAGTTCCAGTTTGAAGAGGTGTCCTTTGAGGTGACAGTGTCCTGTAAGTAGTCCTACCACCCATCGTAGCTGGTTCCTGTTTAACTTAACAGTTCCTTCGCTCTTTTAGTAGAGGGCCCTCATATGGCTCTCAGGGCGGGCTGTGTATTTCCAAACTTGCTAATTATTATAATGAACAGTATTTAGTTAGAAATCAGTAGTAGTAATTACAAACAGAAAATGAAACAGTGGTATTTAAGATTTGAGGCTTTCACGGTGGTGACTATGAAGAAAGCAGTCATCTGGGATTTGGCACCATGTATATGTGGTGTTAACCGACGTTTCTGAGGAACGTATCGCCTCCATCTTCAGGGTAGAAGAAAAAATATAAGAAATCTGCAAGCGAAGAGACCATGAGAACCGGTAAAGCTTTTACCTTTAACCCTGAAGATGTGGGCGATACGTTCCTCCGAAACATCGGTTAACACCAGATATACACGGTGCCAAATCCAAGAAGACTGCTTTCTTCAGTGGTATTTAAATTTGACAGGTGATATTTCATTCAGGAGTATGTTAGGCAGGACACATGGCTTGGTTGAGAAAAAATTTATTACACAGAATTGTGTATTGTATATTAAATGTTAACATGAAAATTTGTTAATTGAATTTGATTTGTTTCATTTTGGTCCGTCACACTAACAGTTACAATTACAAAAGACAAGTCCGTCCAATGTGACTATTTCAGTTTTTCACTTGATGATTCACTAGCCTTACATGTTTCGATCCATTTGGATCATCTTCAGAGGCACCAAACACTTTTTAGAAACCACTATCACAACAGTAACAGCACAGCGGGCCAAGGAATCACAACGGACAATATTAAGAATCTCCCTAATCAAGTTACATAGGAGGCACAACATCGGCCACCTTGAAGAGAGACGACAGGGGTTATTGACACGAACCGTATGGTTTATGTATTTTAATTTTTAACAAAGTTTTTTAAAACTTTAAAACAACTTTAAATATTTCTATAGCCAGAAAGGCTGCTGTGAGTGATAGGTGGAACATTGTGTACTTGGACATTACATGTGTATTTGATATGACAACTGTTGTGATAGTGGTTTCTAAAAAGTGTTTGGTGCCTCTGAAGATGATCCAAATGGATTGAAACATGTAAGGCTAGTGAATCATCAAATGAAAAACTGAAATAGTCACATTGGATGGATTTGCCTTTTGTAATTGTTAATTGAACTTTTGGAAAACAATCTGTCCCTTTTCCATACTATGTCTGTAGACACTTCTTTTGGATTGTTCCAGACTGGGATGATACACATTCCCCCAGGTGAGACAAGCACTAGGAATGGATACAAGAAGTCACCCTTTTCTTTCTTGGCTGGTATCTTTAAGCGTAAGAGATTCCAGAGTGACAAAAGTAATGCAGAATTCGAAGATCCTTCTTCTGTTGTAAAGATGGACAGGTCATCTGACCATCACAGTGAGTAGAGACTTTCAACGTGTGAGAGAAAGTAAATTCACATTACTTGTACTGATAGCAGGTACTAAGGTACATTCTTCAAATAATTTAATACCTTTCCTGGGGAAAACTTTACAAGATGGTGATTGTGTACTTAGGATTCTTCAGCATGCAGCAACATAATTTCAGCTACCATGAGACTTCCCGAAGAATTCTAATGTCATTTGTGCTTACTAGACCCAACACAAACACACTGGTAATCTAAAGTGAAATAAAAGTATTCCAATTAGTCCAACCTAAGTTGCAAGTAGCCTTTTTGACGTGCACCCATACCCAGTGCTTGAGGTGGAATGAAAATAGAACCGGGATGCCATCCTGCCCCACCTCAAGCCCTGGGTATTGTACATTGCATTTACTGCCAAAGAAGTAACGGGATGCTTTTAAGCCATTTAGAAAAGAACTGGGATGCCATCCCACCCCACCTCAAGCCCTGCCCATGCTTCATAATTTTAACACCAAACTTATGGCAGAATTAATCTTTTATTTATTAGATCCAAAACAAACGTAACAAAATAAAATTAACCTGACATCACACTATTTGCTTGTCTGCATAATGTGCCTAACTGGTTTTTCAAGAAATTAATTCAGTTCATATGTTTTATGTAATTTTTCTTGATTTCAAAGTTTATTTTATCACCTTTTGCAAAATCCCCGAATAAGACAAACCTATGAAATAAATAGAAACTTCAAAATTGTCGCAGAACTGCTGTACAAATTGCTAGGTTTTTTAACTTTGACCATCATCTGGTGTTCTGAAAATCACTAGAGACAACAGCATTTCAGAAACTGGATCTGTTTTAATTTTTAAATATTTTTACTGTTATCTTCCATTGACAAAACCTGGTATCAGGGGTTTATATAGTTGTAGTTATACTGACATTGGATGTCCAGTGGTTGATGTCATCTCTTTCTAACAAACCCAACAGAGTAGATGTCCCCCCTCACCTGAGGACAGAAACAGATCCAGCTTCCAAGGTGCTGTGTTCTTTAGTGTTTTTCAGAATACCAGATGATGAACAAAGTCCAATAACCCAGTAATTCTGGTTGTTATACACCATCACTAGAACCGTTGCAGTACAGATATACTATGGACGCTGCCTAGCAAGAGAATTGTTTTGACTAATTTGAGAAATATTTTTCAGCCAGCATCATCTAAACTGGCAGACACCCTGCACTTGATATATCATGCCAGTGGGATACCTGTCCAAATATGAGTTAATAATTTTGTCTCGATCTTGTGAATACACCTCCACAGTCTGCTAGTAAATTACATAACTATATAGGAAATGAAAGCGGCATAAATAACTGGTCATGCTATTGTTAATTTATATAACTGCTTCCTTCCACATTCTTTCATCATTCATAAATCTTCCTCCTGTTACATGTTGTATAATCTAAGCAGTTAGAGAATTGTTGTTTTATAAACGAAGGATCAATAATTTGTGCTGTAGGTCAGTTTTGCTTTTACTTTTCCAGCATCTGTGCCAACATACGAGTATGGGGCTGTTCCAAGGGTTCCTTCCACCCTTTCAGTAACAGCAGTGGACATCATGGTGCAGGCACAATGTTGTCCACCCTCCCCTGCAATATCTAACCTTACCCTCACCCCAGGGCGTACACGTGATATTGACCAGGACATGGAAGCTTTGAGACTTTCTCGTCAGGATAATCCATTCCTTAAGGTACATAAGTCAGGCCATAACTACTGAGTTAAGATGGAGTAATTCAAGGGACAATAATTTTACAGCTAAGAGGAATTGTCAATTGAGGAAACATGCTGGAAACATTTCGTAATTAAATAACATGAGTACTGCAGTACTTTAAACTCAGTGGTTAATCATCAGTCTGAGAACTGTTTTTTATTAACACTTTAAACCTTCAAGCTTTATTCATGTATTGTCTGTGCATTTCACTCACTGCTGCTACCCAGAATTAGTATATACACGTAGAAGAACGTTAGTTAAGAATTTCTGAGGGAAGTTTATTGTGTATGGAAACTGGACACAGTGGCTTGTTGCCTAATAGACTACAGCTAGCTTTGACCTCTTATCCAGTTGTGTACCAGGACATCTTTTCCCAGAGAATGAAGCAGCTCAAGCATGAAACTGAACACTTTTTTTATTGCTAGTGGGATGGGACTAACTCCCTTGCATTGCAGCCACTTCTGGCCTATTGTATCAGCCCCAGATGATAGGTGAGGGTGATTCTGGAGCAATTGGTGGAATGAAGATTGGCAGGGGAAACCGGAGTACTTCGAGAAAACCTGCCGCAGCGCCACTTTGTCCACCACAAATCCCACTTGACACCCGGGCTGCCCTGGTGGGAAGCCAGCGACTAACTGCTTGAGCTATGGTGCAGCCCAACTTAACACTTACTCCCATCTAGAGCTGCCATTAAGAATACATGTAGCTTTACCTCACACCCCTGCACATGCACAGCTTCGCCTTCGCCTTGTATGCAGCAATGATATGCAATGCATATGCAAGGCAAAGAGAGACAGGTTTACTCTGAAATTCTGACATTGATGTTGAATGCAGAATGATCATTTCAGACACTGGCTCCATGTTCAGTATCAGAGACAGTCTCCAGAACTCATTTACTTCCTGAACAGTGATGTGGCTGTTGGTTCAGGAGAATTTTAGTGCATTTATTTGTTATGAAAGCATGAAATCTAATATTGTTTTGTTTTTTTGTAACATAGGTTTTGGCTAGCAGAGAAAGCCTGGTTGACAGTTTGGAGGAATCAGAGTCAGATGATGCTAATCTTATGTCTCAGGTAAGCTGGAGCGATCGTGCTCAACCTCTCACATCATCTCGCTCATCAGTCAGTTTATCAAAATTTTCACCCCGTCATAGTAAAACCAAAGTTCCACTTTTTCCTAGAATTGTAGTTTTACACCAATATAATACATATTAGTATTATATTATTAATTAGATATCTTATTTTTGAGTCATCACATCCCACCCAGCTTACCATGAAGTCCTACAGCGGGGCTCATTCCACCAGCTGAGAAACTGAATTAGAAGATAATTTACAAATTTTAAACTTCTATGTTTCTTCAGGCACATTTCAGTGGTGTATTTTGTAATCTGCATGTATACTTCAAATCAGAAGACTCAGTATTAGCCATTCTTTGTGATGTCTCACACTTTTATTGAAATACTGTTGGGGCACTATGCTACAAGCCGGAAGGTCATGGGATCGAATCCCAATGAGGTCATTGGATTTTTTTCAATTTATCTAATCCTTCCAGCCGCCCTGGGGCTCTGAGGTCGACTCAGCATCTAACAGAAATGAGTACCAGGAATATTCTTGAATGTTCTTGGGAGTAAAGGGAAGCCAGCACATAAGGCTGACAACCTTACCGCCATCTATGAGCCAATTGTCTAGAAAAAGTGGGAACCTCAACATCTCACAACCCTATGGGCCTCCATTGCCTGTTACAGGGATGCCATTACCTTTTAGTTTTTTACTTTACTGTTGGAACATGCAACATGATAGTGCAGACTATTCAGGTACATTACAGACCATGAGCTAAGTGCAACAGGTCAGCACATAAACCCACTTTGAAATAAACATCTCATATTATTATTTACCAACTTAAATTCATAGATAGTAGAATTGTAAGTGGAAAACATGCCTCACTGGCACAGTTCATTGCAGAGATATTTACTTTCTGTACAGAATGAGTATTGAAATGCATTTAGCTCCAGCAGTTCCACTTGCTAATCCTACAGAGAATGGATGATTACTAACAGATCAGTTCTGGAAATAAGTGTACAGTCTTGTAGTGACTTTCTGAAATCTTCTGATGAAAGTTAACATCTTGTTTTATCACAACAGTCATATCTCTCTAAAACACTAGTATTGAGACTTAAAACTGGATGAATTTCTATATGTGAGTTTTTTTTTCTGAAAAGTGCTCCATCATACAAGCTGAAGTAAAAAGTTTTTACTGGACTAGTGCTCACATAACTCTTCATCCATTTGTGGCTTATTCACAAAGTACAGTGATGAAGCGCATCAGGTTTGTTGTTATACCAGATTGTTTGAAACATGATACTGTAGCAATACTTTTGTTTCAAAGCAAATTATATAGATCTCTTTCTGGTAAGTTAAAAATTTTACTAAGATTAGTACTTTCCTGATGGTGCTGTCTCGCATTATAATGACAAGAATTCTAATACTAATTCCAGCCCCTGTTATTATAAAGATGATTTTGGTATGGACACTGAGCAGCATTTCTTTGCAACATCACATGGTGCAAGTGGATGTGGTGGGAATAGGGGAATAGTTGAAAGACTAGCAAGAAGACAAGGCTGTAAATCCATTATTTAGAGAAGATCATGACATCATAGCAGCTCTATGGGCAGTTTGATGTAAAGACTCCCTCAGTCACCTCAGGTGTTCTACTATTGTAGACCACAGCAAAGTAGTGATGACACTTGAAGAAAGTTTCAGAAAAGACTGAACAATTTTGGGTCCTCAAAAAATACATTGCATTATTCCTGCCTCAAAAATCCAAGTTCAAGTAAAAGCATTCTCTGTAGAAAATATGTTCAGCGTGACACATAATAGTTTACTTGCAATGTGAAGAGTATCAAGCGGAGAGCATTAGAGGATTTGAAACTTGTGAGTATTGTGGCGTGCTATCCACCGGGACCAGAAGCTCATGAGAGGATCCTCTCTGGTGCACTGTGAGCCAGTAACACTAGTGACTTCATCTGGCATGAGGCAGCCCCAGGCACCAGACCTAAGCTCAAAATTAGAAGACGTAATCACAGCAGCCAGGTCACACCTGAACAACAGAGAATTTCAGGAGTTGAGGAAACTCTGCCGAGTACCCGGACATTTTTGCTGGAGACAACGAAGACTATGGGAGGACCAACAAAGTGTATCACCGCATACCTACGGGAGACACCCAACCAATTCGACAGCGACCGAAGAGAGTACCCCTGGCAGAACAAGTGGAAGTGAAGGAAATGCTTGGCAACATGTGACAACAGGGGATTATAGAAGAATCAGACAGCCCCTGGTCATCCCCAGTCATTTTGGTTGGGAAGAAGAATGGGAAAGTGTGTTTCTGTGTGGATTACAGGAAGCCGAATGATGTCACCAAGAAAGATTGCGTTCCACTGCTCTGGATTGATGACACCCTGGACATGCTGACTGGAGCCCAATGGTTTTCCACTCTCAATCTGAATAGCGGCTATTGGCAAGTCAATGTACACCCAGACAACAGGAGAAAACAGCGTTTTCCATAGGTCAAGGGTTATGGCAGTTCACAGTCATGCCCTTTGGCCTCTGCAGTGCTCCGGCAACCTTCGAGAGACTAATGGAGACAGTCCTACAAGACCTCATGTACGACTCATGTCTCGTGTACTTGGATGACGTGATTGTAATGGGCTGCACATTCCAGGAGCACCTCCTCAACTTACAGAAAGTGTTTGAGTGGTTCCGAGAAACCTGCCTGAAACTCAACCTGGAGAAGTGTCAACTTTTGCAGAAAGAAGTCAGGTACCTCGGGCATGTTGTATCACCAGACAGGATATCTACTGACCCAGAAAAAATGAAAGCTGTGCATGAAATTAGAATCTTTATGGGCCTATGTATGTATTACAGGCAATTTATCTCAGGTTTCACTAATATTGCAAAGCTGCTAACTAGACTCATGGAAGAGAAGCAAGCCTTCCAGTGGACTCCAAAGGTGGAGGCTGCCTTCCAAGTGCTAAAGGGAGCCCTATGTGCTGCGCCTATTTTCACCTACCCACAGCCATGAGAGAGGTTCATTGTGGACACAGACGCAAGTAACTTCGGGATTGGAGGAGTACTCTCTCAAATACAGGACAGACAGAAGTGTGTCATAGCTTACTACAGTAAGAAGCTAAACAAAGCAGAGAGAAACTACTGCATCACCCGACAAGAACTACTTGCCATAGTGAGGACACTGGAACATTTCCTCAAGTATCTGTACGGAGAACAGTTCCACCTGCACATGGACCACTCTGCACTAACCTGGCTCATGAGTATTAAGAACCTAGAAGGACAAACTGCACGTTGGATACAGCGCCTACAAGAGCATAACTTTACCTCTGAGCATCATCAAGGTCAGAAACACAACAATGCCAGTGCTCTTGCAAGGTGACCCTGGCAAGAGCAGTGTACACACTGCCACAAAGCCAAGACATGGGCAGATGTAAAGCAAATACGTGCTATTGCATCCGTACCTGCAGCCGGCTGAAACCTGGTTGCTCTAAGAATGGAACAGCAGATAGAACACATGAAATGGAACCCTTGAACAAGGTGTCTTCTAGCCCATCTGACAGTAGGGTATAAGGGAAGAACAGGTCAGAATTGAGACCTGATTACAATGAGATGCGAAGAGATTATGAGATGAGATACAAAATGATACGAAGAGATTACAATGAGCCAAGATTAGCGGTGCAAGAAGCGTTGTAACATTGGAAAAGAAACATCTAAAGGGCATTATAAGTAGAATAATTGTATTTGCGACTGTAAAAAGTGACTCCAATAAAATATTTGTTCAAATCTGGGAACCCACAAAATTTCTTGTCACATTGCCTAGCAAACACACAATAATATGATGAAGAGTGGGGGTTCATGTGCATTACAGGTGAATGACAATGAAAGTCAAGTAATATCTTTGCATTTCTCTGACCCCAGTAAATTTTTCACATCCTTCACTGTCAGACCTTCAGATACAAAATAATTATAAAAGTAGAACTAGAGACTGCAGCATGTTGCATATGTGTTATCAGAGAAAGTGAATGCTGTTGCACCACCATCACCAGGCTTCACAGCTAGCTACTGTTGTAGGTAATATTTCTACTTAAGTGGAAAACTATTTGTACTATTTTAGTGAAAAAGTCTGCTGGTTTCTCTTTTACAATTCTTATTAATGTTGCATTACTTATGTAACTTACTGTAAACTTTAATCCAAGAGCCATGCTAGTGAAAATGTGCATCATCACATATTAGAATGTATTCTGGCATGTCTGGATTATCAGATATCATTTTGACAAACTGATGATAAACTGGCAAATACATCTAATCATCACAGTTGCTGAGCTATGGTGCAGCTTGTATTTTATATGGGTAAAATTTAAGGTCACTATATAAGATTCACCATGTACTCCTATCAGACATAATCCTTGAGTGTGCATATTAGATGGCCTCAGTCACCTGTTGTTGACAGACACCATCACTCTGGCAACATTCTCAGGTATGCAAACAGATCATGGTCAGCCAAGCAGCTTTTATGAGTGTTAGAACCTTCTTCACATCATAATGTAACCCATTAGTGAACTGTGTTTGTAGAAGGCCTTGCCTCCTCCCCATTGGTTAAGCTCTTGTTGAACATTAGCGTCCATTTGTCTATAATCCGTCCAAATTGCAACATTTTTTATTTTTCACTTCAATACACACTCTAACACTAAATGTTTCGGCCTCAAACGGCCATCTTCAGGTGTTTTTTTACAGATATTCCATTAATATTGTGTCGAAACTGCTACACTGTTTCACTGTTCTAATTCATTTTAAAAGCCATGCGCTGTGGTCTTCTTTTTAATTAAAATGAGATAAAATTCTTTTATACTTTGTTACTTATGGTTTTTCTTCACACAGGGTGTCATCATTTCCGTAAAATATAAGATGTTTTCCTTGGCAGCTTGTTCCTCACGTTAGTTATTTGTAATTTATAAATTCCTATATTAATGTTGTTTGCTATTCATTATTATTATCATTATTATTATTATGTTGTGTTTGTTTACTTTTTGTACTCACTTTCTCCTGGTTTGTGTTTCCTCCTTGACGTGTGGTGTTGTCTTTACTAGTGCTGATGCAGTGTAATTGTTACTGTATTTATATGTTCTGGTTATGAGGAGTGGGGAGAGATTGGGGGGGGGGTATAGTGTTTTGTTGTGTAATTTTGTATAGTATTTCAAATATAGGGTTATGTGTTTCAATGTTTGTGTCATTCATATGTAAATCTTGTTTAAATTCTGTTTGCAATTCTGTAATTGATCCTGTCAAATGAAAAGCTCTGCAGCATGCACATGGTCCCTCAGTGTCCAATGCTTCATGGCAAACTGAAGTAACTGTTATAGAGTCATCACACCTACCATGCCATCCCCTAATGAAGGAACACATAATTAAACTGGCTACACCATTTCTGCCACACCCTGCTTTGTAGAGAGAGTTGTGTGTAGCAGTGTGGGGTGCTTCAAGGAAGAAACAAGTTGCTACTTGGATGAGTCTAGCGATTGATTTTCTGTAATATAATGCATACTGGAGTGCTGAGTATTATAATGTAAAATAAAATAAGTCGTGGTTTATGTTACAATTGGCTATAGTGGATATTATTTTTAGTGATCTTTTTTAAAAATATTATAAACTCATTATTAAGGGGGTTTACTTAATACAAGAAAGGCAAATAATAAATTATGTTACTTGATGTTCAGTTATTTAACATATGTTTTTTTATATTTAGGAATTCCCTACAGATCTTGATGTGGATCCACTTACATTACCAGAAATCCACGAACACATGATCCGCAGTCCTCCACCAACCACGTGGCCCAAGTCGCCAAACTTCAAGGTATTCCGCTTCCCCATGCAATCAAGTGATGATGACTCAAGCCAGGTAGAGTTCAGTTGAAATTGATTTGTAGAAAGAGGACAGGTTTTGCACATACGACCGTACATTTTTCCATTGCTCTCAGAAAGTACAGGGGTTGCTGTAATTGAAACACTTAACTGACAGAACAGTATAAATTGGCATATGCAGTTTCTGTGACAGAGTATCAACAGATCTACAGAATTAGTATGTTTTCATATCTTTGTTTGTTGTCCCATGGTTGCTGTAAAATATGGAATCTTGGAAAAATGGGCAGGTGATGGAGCCTGACTGATCTAGGCACAGAAATGCAAAGGAAACACAGATGTGCATAAAGTGACGGGCATAGACTTAAGCAGAATTTAACCTGGCTACACTGAAGTGGGCTGGGCAGCAAGCTGATGAACTTATAGCTCAATAACATGAAATAACCATGCGTATGTAAGCATTATAACTCTGGAATTATAACTTGATAAACTGCAATATAACCAATTCCTACAGCAGTTACAAAAGCAGACACACAAGACAGGTCTCAAGAAATTACACAGTATAAGTCTACAAGACTTAAACAAGAGAAACACATCATTGCACTCTGAACCATGCAGTAACAGGCTTGAAACAAAACATTACCCTGAAACATAACATAATTCTTTGCCCAAACCAAATACAGTAATGATAACTTACATATAGGAATTCCTCACTCACACAATCACAAAACTAATGTGATAATGGCAAAGGCTCTCTGCCAGGATGTTAGTAGTCTGCCAAAATATAATTTAGAAAAGCTGGAATACAACATTGAAAAAAATCTTAGAGAGAATAAGAAACGACCTACTTGCTTTGACATACAAACACTGAGAGACTGAATTCACACACAAGCAGGCAGAGAATAGGTAACTGGCTTGGAAGAACAGATGATATGACATATAAACGCAAAATGGCTCTGTCATACCTTGGAAAACAGGAATGCAGTGTTGCAGCTAAGCAGTCAAGACCCAAGGGCATCACATAAATGTACTGAGCTGATGAGATTGGCTCATTTGTTGTTTTGGTGGTGGTGGTGGTTGTATTGTTGACATTTGCTGTATTGGTGGCAGTTGTTATTTTGATAGTGGGCTCACATATTCTAGCCACAAACACCGAACAGATGATTGGTGCGGAAGAAGAAGAAGAAGAAGGATAGTGTGACTTGTAATTGTAAAGGCTGAGAGAATTTTAAATTAATTAAAGACAGCCAAAGGTTGCTGAAGTATGTGATGGTCCATGTATGTTAAGGAATTGTTTTTTGGTGGTGACTGAGAAATTGTGACTTGTGAGGAGTAGTTGATTAGGAATAAATATGGAATCAACTGCCCAAATTATTTTGAATTTTCTAATGTTGTGTGTATAGTACATTTGGTTTCCTAGAATTGTGTCTTAGTTATTCTATAATTATATCATTATATGAATATGTGCACTAAAATTGATGGTTATCAAAAGAATTGTATGCCAGTTTGATACACCATACAGGAAAGTTTGCATCGGTGTGACAGAAAATCACCATTGAAGGTTGTTTCCCCAAGACATTCTCGCATGAATCTGGACGAGTTGTCTGCAGAGATATTGGGCTCTTCATCTAGTCAGCCTGCTGTTTGTTCTAGACTCATCTCTCCTCGTCTACATCCTCGGTCCAGCTGTGACACTAAAGGTATGACAGTATTTTCAGCTCTCGGTTCTATTTGCTCAAAGTGAAGGATGAAGTCTTAAAACTGCAGTGGCACAGTCAAGGAAAGTAAATACTTTGGCAACAGATTCATGGCAGATCCCATGAGTTAACCCCTTAAGCAGGGACATGAAGCAGTAATTCAGGCAAGGAGAATGTACACACAGTGACTGCAGATACATGGGATGCTTATCAATTCAGCATACATATTCGTTTCTTTAGATATAGGACATATTGCTGAATGTTGGAAGTGTCATGTGTGAAAATCTTTATATATTTTGAAATCAATCCGGACAGTACTAAGTCTGTAACACCACTCAGTATATGGATATTAAGTTATGTTCTTCCTCATTTAATTGAATTTGCATTTACTAACTCTTTCTGTTACAAAAAGGATGTTTATTGAAAGTAATTTATTCATGAATTTTTTTCCATTAATTTATGGGTACTAGTCGGAGATACACATATGCACACATGTGTGCACTCATGCACATACACATGCACACACAGAGTTCAAATGTTAACCAGTAATTTAGATCTTTCTCATCAACAATCACACTGCCACTCATTGGTGAACTGTCATCAGGTTTGTCAACTCAAGTGTCTGAAAGTATATCAGCATAAATTTTATATTCGTATCTAAATTTACACTGGGAAACCTTTCTGTCTTCATACTAACTTATACTATGTCAAGTAATGTCATAACCATAAACATTTCTTCCAGAACAGGTAAATAAGAGTTGTGGATTTTTACTTGATGTGATGGGATTTTCTGCTGGATCACAGTGTACCAGAATAAAGTTGCTGGATGGCATGAAAGATGACCCCAGAATTTATGATTAAAAATGTAGCGTTGGAGCTATATTCCAAGATAAGATTACTATAATTTCTTTTTAATTATTGTTCATGACCATGTCTGCTGTGGGTGTTACTCCTTTTGGTACATATATTCATGAGCATACTGGTTGGCAGGTCTTTGGTTTTTCTCCAGTGTTCTACCATCTTTTCTGTTACACCAAAATCCTGGGCAGCAGCACAGCTATTGAATGACTTACCAAATGTGACCACTTGTAACTTGAAATAAACATCATATTTTCTTCTTGTAGCAGGCTGAACCAAGATGGTGCCTCAGTATTAATAAGATGTTGTTAGCCTTTACATTTACATTTACATTTAGTTTCATTTAATGGATCCAATCATCTCCCCGTAGGGCTGGATATAAAACATTTCACACATTACAAATTCATGATGACCACACATCATACGTCCTTTGTCCAAAAAAATATATAATCAGGCCTCATGCAGACAGCACAAGTTGTCAAGATAACACACATTGGCCATGGAAAAACCACTGTCTTAATTCACACCTTGCCATTCTACACACACTGCCCAGCCATATCATCAGTACAGTTTCATTATAATATTGTCACGCGACAAATAACTTCATGCCGTCTTGGATGTAGCGAATTTATTGAACTCTTGCTCTTACAATTACACAATTCACAATCTCACAGTTAATGCCATTGGCATTATCACAGTTTTGTCTTCTGCTGTAGTCACTGCCATGCACTCCATACAACCCGACTCGGCAACTGCTAGACTGCAACTGACTGGTTACTCTGTCTCTAGTAACTGGCTCAATGCTCACTACTCACTACTCTAGTAACTTCTGCACTAGCAACACAGAAAACAGTTATGTGATAGCTTTCACTGTTGCATGACGTCATGTTTACCAATTGCCTACCAACAGTCACTGCACGGGCTCCCCTGTTGCATGACGCCGTGTTTACAAGGCGTTGCTGGGGAACGCTGCCGAGAGTTGTTTATCGCTGCATAACAACCAGCGCACTTCAACTCGGCTCGCTTCAGCTCTACTCGGCATGGTACGGAGAAACACCGCTTTCCTTACTGTTGCGTAACCTCGTTTCCACTGTTGCGTAATTTGGCAACTGACTGTTTATCAAGGGTCTGCCTTCGTGGTAACTTGTTCCACCTCCCATTGCCCAGCAATGGTTAGACATGTCACAACATATTGAAATTCGTAACAAACACAGACATCATACGTACTGCCACACTTACAAGAAGCAAGTCTCAACAACGTATAATACAAGCACACGGACCATTTATTAACTTTTAACTTTTGAGCCCCTTGCATGCTTGACAAATTTGTCAGTAGAGTAAAATGAGTTACTTTGCAAATAATTTCGTAAAACAAACCTAAATTGATTTTTATCATTTTTTAAAACTGATATATATGACGGCAGAATGTTAAATAGCTTGACGCCTGAATAATACACCCCTCTCTGACAGGATGATAAGTGTGTTGTAAGTATATGAAGGTGGTCATTCCTTCTTATACCAATCATATATACAGAGTTATTGGTCTGAAACTTATCCAGATTATTAATAAAAAATGTCATCAATGAGAGCAAATATGCACATGGGATAGATTATATCCTTTTATGTAAGAGTGATGACCTGAGACTAAGGTTTGTTATGAACAGTCACAGAGCATCATTTATGCTATTCACAGCCATACTGGTAGTTCACTGAATTTCTCTTTGGCTCAGATGTTTATTTATGCTACGTTAGCTGTTGCATATGGCATGTGGTGTGACTTCATCCTAATGATTTTGCAGTTAAGGTAATTGTGGTCACACTGTCCCACCACGTATTATTTTGTTACACTCTGTATGTTAATTATGTGTGTCATATATATGAGTCAAATAATTGTGATGGTTATCATTGCAGATCGCAGCTCTAACCCCTTTTCCCTGCTCAACCCAGATGTACGCCGCATGCACACAAATGTTGCTGATGACAATGTTCTCTTGGTGTCTTCAAATAGTGATGAACAACAGCAACAACGTCGATTTGAGCTGAAAACTCCCCCACCCAAATTACAACTGCTGTCTAGCAAGAGAGCTGTATAATCGTCCAATATTGTTATATAATAATGAATAACAAGTCCTGTGATGCAGGGTGAAGTGAACCAACTTAGTCATGTTATCGCCCGTCCAATTCTGAAACTTTACACAGTCAGGTGGACTTGTTGCAGTGTGTGGGTGAAGAACAGAGCACATACCTTTCATTGGAAGATGTAGGATTTTACGCTTGAAGATATGCTGTTCAGGAGAAAGATGGGGAAATGCTGAACAACATTCTAGTACCCTGTTGCTCTTATCAAGGATTCCTTCAAACTAATTATTGATAGGCAAGGCTTTATTGTCAGAGAGTAAAATAGGCAATACAAATAGCACAGAAGTGTCTTGAACTTTCAATAGTCCTTGGATTTATAAGGAAAATGTCCATAAACTGTTCCACTGAAGCAATTTTTATTAAATAATAGTATCAGTACTGCTGTTGCCTGAATTTCAGAACTTTCAGCTGATTAAAAGTTTAATTAATTAATAATCTGCCATTTATCACTTCAGTGAGTCTTTGACATATTAACTGTTTAATATACATAATTTCTTCAGGTTTAAAATTGTGGTAATGACATTAAAAAATATATACATGCAGAGAACATTGAATGTATTTAAAACTAAATTATAAGTTTAAACATTTAATGGCATATTGTCGTATAATATAATTGATTAACACTAACAGCCTCATAACTTCATGGAATAGATTCCTTATAGAGAAAGTAGTAGGCACTCCACTATTCAAAAAGTTCCCTCCCTTTTATGGAACTCAAAGGTTTATTACCCCTATCCTGACCCAAATGAATCCAGTCACTGCGTTCAAGAAAATAATGTGTGAATAAGGAGTCGGTTGCCTAATTGAGCCACCAATAGAGCTATTTCTAATCTAGAAGTATTCGTTTGTTTAAGCATTGTCATTGTCATTGACGATTCCCTCCCCGTTTATATTTGAGTCTCGGTTATACATTTCTGACTGTTGCTGAACGAAGTTTCATTCATGTTCATTTCATGATCATCTGTTGTTTCCCAGTCCCACACCATTCTTTTGCATCTTTTATCTGTCTGCTGTTGGAGCATGGGGGAGGAATTTCTGTCAGAGAATCTGAACAGAAAATACCACTTGGGAGTCTGAGGTGCAGATCAGAGGTAACGTAAAATTTATCTTAGAGAAATAGGGTGTGAGAATGTGCACTGGATTCAAGGGGGTATTTGAGTATCATCTGAGTAAGTATTAGCTTCTCAAGAGCGCTGCTTCATAGAGTTGGTCATTCTGTATCAATTACTTTTCGAAGAGGTCTAAGTCCTGTGTATGCTCTGAACTATAGACTCTTACGATCTGGTTACTGTTACTGATAAGGTGGATTAGTTTGGCCACATTACTTCACTGCCTTATCATCCACATAGATTTTTATTTGTATCGAAACCCTAAAGTAAGGTGCATTGTGTTTGGTAAGTGCTCTGTCCTTGCTGTAATTGTAACTGATGTAGATTTTCTGGCCACTTTTCATTCCACAATTCACTTCCATCAGTGTGAACAGAAACTTCAAGCTTCATGGGGGAGAAAGTTATTTGATATAAAACTGGGAGGAATAAACAAAAATCAGTGATTTTACAGTACAGTTCACCATAGATGTGTGTTAGAAGCTATGCTTTTGAGGCACCAAAATATAGAATAATGAAAATGGAATTCTTGTATTATGTATTCTGCAACTGCAAATAGTTCTGTTGGCTACTTCCTATGCTATGCTGTCTGCTACTCATATATTAGATTATTGGTCTTTCCTAATCCATATAACATATCAAATCCATGGTCAGAAGTCTCTGATGATAAAGGTTGTTATTGTATTTTATGTGGGTCTGTTGGCATACTTGATCTTCATTTCGCTTTTAGTTCAAGATTTCATATATATGCCCAGGATTCAGTCTCACTTGTGAGAAAGATGTCTTGAATAAAGGTCACAGTGATTCATAAAATATACACATTGTGTCTTATACAATAGTTTTATAAATAGCATTGATTTTTGCAAAACCCCACACAATTGTAATAATTATGCTTATTAAATATGTGCCATTGAAAGTGTTATCTAGCCTTATGCTACTGTCCTGTCGTCTGTCTAATATCTGCCCAGTTTGCAACACAGTGTGCATACTAGACAGCAGAGAGTCATCATGCATAAATGAAATCTACCATTCTAATGCCACCTCAGAGAGTATTATTTGCCTATTCTTGCCACAAAGACCTTCATACCATTACTGTTGGTAAAGTTTGCCATTTGACCTTATGAAGTAATCATCTTTTTTAAATTTTCCTAACAAATTTATTCCAATAATTAATTTTTGGTTTAATCTATCCACCACTAGAAATTTTCCTTAAAAATTCATTGAATATTTTGGAATTTCAATAAAGTTGGGCATGGCTAATTCATGTACATAATAATCCTTCTTTTTAATTTTCTCAGCAATAGGTCTTCCAATCAAAGACACTAATGCTCCCATGTCCTTGTGCCTTCAGCGTTTTCTCCCACACTTAGCTTCTTTTCCAGACAAATTATTTTTCTGGCCCCCCCCCTTTTCTTCCATTTGAAATCAGAATGCTTCTCTCATTATTGTTCTGTATAAGAAGCATTTCTTATTATACTTGTCTGTTGTTCACGCTCTTCTTTGCATTGTTAATATCTTCTATCTTCATTTTATATATTTGTATTTAATCATTTTTGTTTGTAGCCATGTGTTTTAATAATTTGCTTTAATTTCATATTTATGTAAGAATTTATTTAAATCTTAAATTAAATAATCCTTTCAGCTGTTATAAATGATCATATCAAAGTTATTTTTACATCTTCTTTGAACTGTCATTGTTTCAAGTTAATTCATTTCTCCTCTCAGGCAAGATGGCTGAAGAATTTTCAGTCATGTGTGAATGTGTAAGTATTCAATTATAGTCTGAGAGAAGCAAATTTCACATTCCTTCTTAAACACCTGAGAATTGATATCAGTTCAGTAGTTTCAAACCATTAATTTTGTTATTTCTGAATATCATTATTGCCCACCAATCACTGAACTCAGGAATGTGAAAAAGGAAGTAAATATGGGTATCTCTTGAATACATCTCAAACAAAACTGCTAAGGATTCTGATTCTTGTCATTTCCTCCAGTTTTTAATTAAGTGTGGAAAATGTATGGCTTTTATTTTATTATATGTGATGGATTAACGCTTTCAAGACTGAATTTCTTCTGAACATTGTATAGAAA